GACAAGTGGGGACCTCCCTCACCTGAAGGCACAGAGAGCACTGCTCCCTGCCCCCCCCCCCCCCCCCCCCCCCCCAGCCCCGCCCCCGGCCACCACTGCCAGGAGAGCCCCACTGCTCTGGGCCAGGTTCAGAATCTTGTGTTTTTGGCTCTGGAAGTTTCTCCTGTCCTTCCCGCTCTGGGTGACTGTCAGCACTGTGGCTTCTAATGATGGGAGCAGAGCAGAGTCTGCTTCAGGGGAGAACGTCATTAGGAAGGAGGAGGAACTTGCCCAGTGCCATGTCTTCTTTCCTTTCCCCCTCTTCCCTCCCTCCCTCCCTCCCTCCCTCCCTCCCTCCCTCCCTCCCTCCCTCCCTTCTTTCCTTCCTTCCTTCCTTCATTCCTTCCCTCAGCAAATATTTTTTGAGTTCTTCCTAAGTGCCAAGCACTAGGCATGAAGTGGAAAACTCACCAACAATGAACACTGTAGCATGTGAATATGTGATGATGAACCAGGGAGATGCTGGAAAGAGAGGAAATAATTTTGAGGGGTGTGTGTAGGGGCTGGGAAGGACTCCCCGAAGGAGAAATAACTCCTCTGGGGCCTGCAGGATGAGCCGAGCCCAGCCGTGCCCAGTGTGGGAGGAACATTCCTGGCAGAGCGAAGGCCTCGGCTGTGAAAGAGTTTGGTGTCTTCCAGGGGTCAGGAGGCTGGCATGGCTGGGGCTTGGCACAGAGGCGGGGGGGGGGGGGGGGGGTAGGGGAGGTGGGAGCGGAGGGGCAGGCACAGGCCGTCCACAAACTGCAAGGGGTTTGAATTTTATTTCAATTCAATGGCAAAGCACTGAGGAAGTTTACAAAGCCAACCATTTATTAATTCCTTCATTCTTTCATTCCTTCATTTCTTCATTTTGTGGAAGATGAGTGACCATCTTTAAGTTCACTGGATGTGGCCATGACTGGGTACCCTGTTAGGACATATGCAATGTGCCTTCTTGTGTGTGCAGATGCGCTTCTGAAATACATGACGTTTCCATTCTGGGCCTTCCCCGCTGTGGCCATGGCAGGACATCTGACCACCAGAAAGCTCCTGAGGAGGGGGATGGGCTGGTGCGCCAGGAAGCATCCTCCCGCTCCGGACCTTCCCACGTCTCTCTTCCCAGCGCGGAGGGCAGCGGTGCCCACTGGGCCTAACGCAGGGACGTGGGTGCCTGCCTCTCAGTCTCTGCCCTTGGTTCCCTTAGTATGCTCCTGGAGTCACCTCCCCGATAAACGACTGGCATCCACCTCCACGTGTGCCGTCTGCTTCTGGAGAAACGCCACCTGAATAGTCCAGTGAGCTTAGACAAAGAACACAAAGGGCTTGCCCAGCTCCCTGGCACCCATTAGACCTAGGCTCCTGTCCCCTAAGGGGAGAGGGATGACGTCATATCCTAACATGGAGACATCAGGAAGCCGTGATGGTCCCGATTGCTCAGGGGGCAGCGGTCTGTTGGACCCCCGGAACCCCAGTGATGGAGAAAGTCGGAGTTTTGGGCCTTCCCCCTGTGGCCATGGCAGGGACATCTGACAACCAGAAAGCTTTGAGGAGGGGACTGGCTGGTGCGCAGGAAGGCCCGGGAACCGCCTCACACCCTGGGTCTTTCCATCGTCTCCCTCCCAGCGACTTGGATTTGCCGTTTGCAGATGTAAATCAGGTGCACTGAGAGGGAAGGGGACAAGGCGCTCATGGGACTGCTCGGAAGGAAGTGGTGTCACGCGGTCTAATATATGGCTCCTGACACTGAATCTCAGGCGTTTCCGCACTTCCCCTGACCTCCCTGACCAGAGGTCGCTTGTGATCTATGACGCCCTCCCGTCCAAATCATCAGAAGTTCACCAGTTAGTCAGGAATAGATTTGTGTGTGAAGAAGGGGAGTCAGTACCTCAGGTTAATCTCCCAACGCAGAGTGTGCCGTGGCACAGCCTTTGGGAACTCGGTCACTCTATGGAAACTTGTTTCCTTTTGTCTTGCCACCCAGCCACCGAGATTCTCTTTAAGGGAAAAGCAGCCCATAGCATTTTGCCAAGGACGGATTCTGTTATTTTGTACCTTGAGGATTTTCACTGTGGGTCAAATGGAATAAAATAATAGACATTGGGCATGAGACACAAATGTTGAAGTAATGCTGAGAGACTAATTTCAACCATACAACTCCCCAATGCAATCTTCTACCACATGGATAGGGCATTACCCAAGGCCATATTACTCACTTCTGTCGTGTCCAAATGTTCATATTTGAAACAAGTGGAATATATATATTTATTTATACATACACACACACATATCCTATATAATAAAGCAGTAATATGCAAATTGACAGTCACACCATCACCCCCATGTGGTCAGAAGATGGCTGCCTCCATGTGGTCACAAGATGGTTGCCCCTATGTGGTTAGAAGATGGCCACTACAAGATGGCCAGCAGGAAAGGGCAGTTGTGAGTGATCAGGGGAGGGCAGTTGGAGGCAACCGGGCTGGCAGAGGAGGGTAGTTGGGGACAATTGGGCCGGCAGGGGAGCAGTTAGACATTGATCAGGCTGGCAGGGGAGTGGTTAGGGGGGTGATCAGGCTGGCAGGCAGAAGCAGTTAGGGGCAATCAAGAAGGCAGGCAGTGAGCAGTTGGGAGCCTGCAGTCCTGGATTGTGAGAAGGATATCCGACTGCCCCTTTAGGCCCGATTCTATTAGGATCAGGCCTGAACGGGCAGTCGGACATCCCTTGAGGGGTCCCATGTTGGAGAGGGTACAGGCTGTGCTGAGGGACACCCCGCACCCCCCAGTGCATGAATTTCATGCACTGGACCTCTAATATAGATAGATAAATATATTTCAGAGTAGAAGGGAGAGGGAGAGAGAGAGAGACACATCAGTGATGAGAATCATTGATTGGCTGCCTCCTGCACACCTTCTACTGTGGATTGAGCCCACAACCCTGGCATGTATCCTTGACCAGAATCAAACCCAAGACCCTTCAAGTCCACAAGCTGATGATGCTCTATCCACTGAGCAAATCGGCTAGAGCAACAAGTGTATTTTTTAAAAATATATTTTATTGATTGATTTTTTACAGAGAGGAAGGGAGAGAGATAGAGAGCTAGAAATGTCGATGAGAGAGAAACATCGACCAGCTGCCTCTTGCACACCCCCTACCGAGGGATGTACCCGCAACCAACGTACATGCCTCTGACCGGAATCGAACCTGGGACCTTTCAGTCCACAGACCGACGCTCTACCACTGAGCTAAGCCGGTTTCGGCAACAAGTGTCTTTTTTAAAAAGTGTAATAGTAAATGTTGTTCAAGTCTAAACAGGAGGGCAGGATTAGCTAGACTCAGAGATGAAGAGATTTGTTTGGGTGGCAAGAGATTTATTGGAAAAACGAAGGACAGAAGAAGCCCTTCCCACGCAGCTCCTCGCCCAGCTGTCTCTTTAAATACATACCTGTGGTGGTTTGGGCCATTTTCATCCCGAGATCCTGAAGATAGGAAGGGAGGGGCCCACAGGAGAGGACAGGAGCAGGAAACGCTCTCTGCTGAGTTCCCAGAGATGGTGCGCCGTGGCTATTGGGAACGAGTTCTGGCGTGGCTCATTCCTGCTGCCTTAGGTGGCTGGCCCGAGAGTCATGTGACAGCGATGAGTTTTTAGATGATGAATAAAAAGATTTTAAACCAGTTTGGAACTTCTGAGTCACAACCAGGTGTTTATGTTGGGTGGGACCCTTTTCGAGTCCGGGGTAGCCGTGTGCTTGCTGCCAGTGCTGTGAGCCCGAGGGTGCAAGCTGGGTTTTCCGGTACAAGCTGGCGGCAGGCCAAGCCAGGTCCCGGAGAAGCGAGGGGGCTTTCTTGGTGAGGTCTCTGCAGACTCACGAGGGTGAGGGGGAGCCACGTTTTGTGGGAGAAGAGAGCGTGTTGGCACCTGGTGCCAGAGGAGCATAGACCTTCTAGCTTCTCGACCTTGTCTCGTATCTGATTTCAAGTCCTGAAATAATTCACTTCCAAACCGCGTTACAGGCCTTTATAGACTCCTTAGGACGTTCAGTGGGAACGCTAACTGTGCAACCACAGTCGTGGGCAGGAATTTACGCTCCAGCAGATTCTGACCCTGACTCTGCCCCTTCCCGATGACCATGATGCTTTGACCTCTGTGGGCCCTGGCAGCTCGTCTCTAAGCTGGACGCCTCTCACGGTTCAGCTCGAACCGCGGAGGGTGAGGATGGGCGGCCTACATGAGCGGTCCCCCGGTGGGGCCCCGAGCCTTGTCTTCCGCAGACACAGTAGCTGATATTCCCGGGCAGGTGATGGGCTCGGTGGTGGTGATGTAAAACTTCTTGTTTGTGCTTTGGTTTTTCCCTTTGCGGTCACTATAATGAATATGTGCTCCTGTTACAATAGAAAAGGACTGGTGAGGGGAGGAAAAAGTTAAAATCAAGAATAAAGTTAAGGCCCTAACCGGTTTGGCTCAGTGGATAGAGCATCAGCCTGCAGACTCAAGGGTCCCAGGTCAGGGGCATGTACCTTGGTTGCGGGCACATCCCCGGTGGGGAGCATGCAGGAGGCAGCCAATCGATGTTTCTCTCTCATCGATATTTCTAACTCTCTCTACCTCTCCCTTCCTCTCTGTAAAAACTCACATATTAAAAAAAAAAGAAAAAGAAGAAGAAAGTTAAGACCCACGCCAAGATCTGATCTAAGCCTGGGGAGTATGAGGAAGTACCCCAAGGCTTCCTCTCTTTACTCAGGTGTGTCCCTGGCTCAGACCCACCTTCCGGGTCCCCCGACCTGCGCCTGCCTCGGCGAGGCCACCGGTTATCAGTTAACCATCAGGGCAGGGAGTCAAGGTCACCTGGGCCCCGCTGAGAGGCTCCTCCCGCTGCTGCTGGCTCAGCCTAAGCGCATGCCCGCGGGGGACGCCCCTCTGAGCCGGGTGGGGAGCAGCTTGGGGGCTGGGCTCCCCCATCGGTGACCGTGCCCCCGTGTCTTGCAGGCCGCCCGTGCATCGTGGGGGAGTGGAGCCCCTGGAGCGGCTGCTCGGACCAGTGCCGGCCCGGGACCCGCGTGCGGCGGCGCCCGGTGCGGCAGGAGCCGCTGAACGGCGGCGCGGCGTGCCCGGCGCTGGAGGAGCGGGCCGGCTGCCTGGAGTACCGGACGCGGCGGGGCCAGGACTGCGGCGGCGCCTTCGGTGAGTCCGGGGTGACTCCCCTCGCTGGGTGCCGGGTCCCCCGCAGGGCAGGTGCCGGCAGGGGAAGTGCGGAGCTGCAGGGAGGTGGCCGGGCGGGCTGCAGGGAGCAGATAGGATGAGGTCCAGGAAATGCCTGGTGGAGCTCCGGGCCAGCTGCATCCCCGGCCCAGCCCCGCTCTGTGCTTCCTCGTGTGTTTCTAACCCGGCCGTGCCCCCTTTCTCCTGGTGCTTGGACTCTGGATTTTAGCAAACTCAGCCCAGCGGGTGGCCGAGGACGGGGGTGAGAGTGTTTCCCCCAGGGCGGTGAGTGTCCCGGAGGGATAAGTCCATTCCACCTCCCACCCAGTCCTGCTCATCGCCAGCAGGCGCCCAGGTGAAAAGACTGGAAACCTGACCCAGGGCTCACCGGTGGGAGAGTTACTAGTTTTCTCTTGGAAAACACCTGCCCCTCCTCTCAGCCAACTGGCTTGGGGCTGCTGATGCGATGGCATTTGTGGTTTGACAAGTTCACTGCGGTTGTGGAGGGGCCGGGAGTCCGCCCCTGGGTGAGGCAGAGCCACGGGAAGCTCACAGAGAAGCGGGCGGAAAGGCCAGGGCCCGTGTTTGGATCCGGGTGGAACCTGCCGGAGCAGAGGCAGAGCGGAGACCGTGTGTTCTTCATAGGAACTTGGAACATTGCAGGTCAGCGGCCTCCTCGTCAGGCCATTGTGCTCCTCTTTCCGCTCCGCACACCAACATTCCCGGTGGGCACTGGCGGTGCCAGGGTTACCGGGGCCAGAAATGGTGACCAGGAGCCCGCTGTCCTGTAGGTACATCCCTGTCCAGTGGGAGGCGGAGGTGAGCCCGGCTCCTCCTGGGAGACGGATCTCTGAAAACCACAGCTGTAGTTTGGCCCAGCTGGTAGGGATCTGAGTGTGAGCAGTGTGGGCCTACAGGCATCCTCAAACTTTTTAAAGTGGGGGCCAGATCACGGTCCCTCAGAGAGCTGGAGGGCCGGACTATATGAATTACTAATTCCTACTGTAACACCTCGGCTGCGCTCACTGCCCAAAAAACCTGGCGGGCCGGATCAGACTCCTCTGCGGGCCGCATGTGGCCCGCGGGCCATAGTTTGAAGACCCCTGGGCCTACAGTGTGTGTGAAGCTGGTTGCCCTGGCCTTGGGGGTTATAGGAGCCGTGGAGGTGGGAAGGGAGGGGTGTCCCTGAGGATTGGGGGTGAGGCTGGGAGGCCAGAGTGGAAGGGCTCGGAGAGGTCTGGCGATCTAGGGAAGACGTGACCATGAGAGGCAGGACACACAAGTTTGGTGGGCGGTCCCGGGGCAGGGCTGGGAGATTGGGACATCTGCCCAGAGGCTGTGGTGTGGGGCACCATCCTCAGAGGAAGGGGAGGGATCTGACAGGGCTGGGGTCTAGTGATGTCATTGGAGCAGCTGGGCAGGAGTCCTGGGGAGGGCAAGGGCCTGGACTGCTCGGGGTCTTATAACCACAAGGCGTGAGCTTCTCAATGGCCGGCAGGTGCTGGGTGTAGCTTCACAGGGTCTGCAAACCCGGCTGGGCCTAAGTGGCTAAAAACTTGCTTGTTTGACTATCTTTAAAGTAGGGGTGTCGAACTCAATCAGAGAAGGGGCCAAAATCTAAAATCCAGCCTAAATCGAGGGCCGAATGGTTTACTGAACAGTCATAAACTGTCATTGTGATGGAAACGCAGCGGAGTACAGTGATGACAGCGCGGTGCGGGCCACATTGCAAGGCCTGGCGGGATGGATTTGGCCCGCGGGCCTTGTGTTTGACACATGTGCTTTAAAGCAATGGGATGCATACAATTTTGAGTTTGGTGCCAGTGGCTTTGGAGCTATCAGGCTTCAGCCTGCCTTGGGGGCGTGAACCGCCGAGGGCTCAGTTATGTCCCACCGGGAGGTACAGAGGCCCCGTTGTAGAAGCCAAAGGAAGGCCTGGGGGTGAGGACAGAGGAGAATACCCTTCCCCCAGTGCAGGGCCTCAGAGCGCCCCAATTAGGATTCTGGTCTTTATCGTAAAAGCCTTGGATACCCACAAGGGTGTTGTTTTCTGCAGGAGCGGGTGTGAGCAGGTCTTGATTTGCAAAGATTGTCCTGGTCGTGAGGAAAGGAGCTGTGTGTGTGTGGGGGGGGGGGGGGGGGGAAAGGGGGGGGGGGGGTCTGCCAGGGGCACAGCCGTCCTCTTAGGCTCCCAGAGAAATCATTTGGTGCCCACAGAAACCAAATGGGACCCAGCCACACACCCATTCCTCTGCAGGAACGGTTGAGGAGGAAGTGGACGTGAGCGGTTTAAAAACCTGCCAGGAAAGCAGCCACTCCGTTCCTTTACCTCTCAGCACTCATGGAGAGGTGCTTTGGTAGAGAAAATGGTCTGAGTTACCCCACATTTTGAGTGTTGAATGTCTCTGACATTCACTTTCCTTACCGGGATGTCTTGGGATTGTCGATCCTGGCCAGCTTGTGGACAGGACGCTTCCAATATTCCCGTCTGGTGGTTCCTAAAGCGGTCCTGGGCCTTGGCCTCACCTGGGAAGTTGTTGGAAATGGGGTTCCTCGGCCCCACCCGACTCACCATCAGCGAGGCCTCCAGGGGATGGCCTGGCTCACCCAAGTCCAAGGACCACAGCTCTGGCCCAAGCATGGGCCCACGGCTCCCTCAGGCCTCTGCCTCGAGGCTGGATGGGTAGATGACACTTTGCTGATGGCAGGATTCCCCAAAGTGCAAGGGGATGCGTCAGGGAAATGTGGGGCAAATCAGACCACTTTCTATACCAAAGAACCTCTCTTCATTATGCTAAATGTGCTTTTGCCCCACAGCGGGAGGTAGTAAGGGATTTCCCCACCTTATTTGATTGAATGACCCTTTTCCCCAAGGGGCCTCTCACAGGTGTTCTGGGGAAATCACGTTGGAAGAGGATGGACCTTCAGGGTGCCCAATAGGGAGATGAGATGATGCTGTGAAAAGCCAAGGGGGTGGAGTCTTCAACCTCAACCCCAGGCCCGGTTTCACAACCCTCCCCACGGGTGCCTTCATTTACGTTTTACTGAGAGTCCGAGAGTGGAGGTGCGAACCTGAGTGACAACTACATCCCAGGCAGTTAGAGCTCGGGTAGTGAGTGGCAGGACCAGTGGATGTGCAAGTTGGGGAGGGAGCGTGGGGAGGGGCTCACCTCTACCTGCAGCTCAGCCCTGGGTGGTCACCTGGGTGGGTGTCCTCCTCTCCCCTCCTCTTGTCATGTGACCCAATGACCCCTCACATTTGCATGCCAAAGAGCGTGTAGAGCCAGTGTTGATCCGGTCTCCAAAGCGGCCCTGAGAGAGGGGATGAGTGCTCCACCTCGGCTGAGACAGATGACCACTGACGCAGTGGCTTACAGTAACGCACCTTTCTCTCTGTAGGGCGGTAACGGTCCAGCCAGGCTTGCTGGGCTGCTTTCTGAGGCTGTGGGTGGGCGGGGGAGTGGGGTTGAAGGGATTGTTTCTTGGTGGAAAGGGGTCTCTGCCATCAGGGGCAGCAGCTCAGTGGGACTGTGGCCTGCAGTTATGTGGAAGCACAGCTTGTAAGCGATGAACTTGGATACTTAGCTGAGGAGATCTGCAAGCAGAATGGAGAAGGTGGGGCTGGGTTCTTCTTGCCGAGATAGAGATATAGAGATAGAGATAAAGAGAGAGAGGAGAACCCCACTGGGAACAGGACGTGGTGAACTGGGAACCTCTCAGCCTCACCGAGTGGCAGGGCCCTCCGAGGAGACTTTAGAGAAACCCCCCAGGCGCGGTTGGATCGCCGTTGTCAATGCCCCAGAAAGTCAGAGACAAAAGCGCCACAGACTTAGTGACCAGCAGCGGAAATGCATCATTTTTGGTTACTGACGTCAGAAGCCAGACGGGGCCTCACAAGGCTTGCTTTTCCATCCTCCATGTTCCTCTCCCCACGGCCCTCCTCCCGTCTCCACAGCAACGCCTCACCTCTCTGCATCCTCCTCTTGCGTCACATCCTCCTAGGACTCTGACTCTTTCTTCCACTTGTAAGGACCCCTGTGATTACACGGGCCCACCTCCCTGGGCCATTCAGGATAACCTCCCTATTTAGGATGGACTGACTAGCACCCGATTCCTCATTGCTCGGAGCCTGCTGTATGCACAGGTGCTGGGGACCGGGGTGGGAACATCTTTGGGAAGGCCACGCTCCGGCCTGGCATTATCCTTGGTTTGCACAGGACGTGGGAGCTCAGAGAGGTGACAGCACTGGCGAAGGGCCACCAGAATTCAAACCTGGGTCTGTCTCATGGCTCTAAATCCCGTGCTCCCCCAGCCCCTGCACTTGGTAGGTATTGTACTGCTATTGACTGTTAAAATTGCAACTACAGATTCTGGTTAGCACCAAGTAGAAACAGAAAGGCCCCGTGAGGCCAGTGAATACGTAATCCCTGACATGCTCTCAAGTAGCTATTGCATTTTTCCCGTTGGATTCAGTGCATATTTTGACTCTTATGTTTATCATAAAAGAAACCCAAAAGCCACACGATGGCATCCGTTGCACACGACAGCTCTGTGTGTTCTCCTCCTGCAGGGAGGCGAAGGTGCCTGTGAGCCTGTGCTTCCGGGCCGGTGTCGTCGGCCAGATTTCCTTTCTGTTCTGTTTTTACCCGAAATCCACAGACCAGGGGTCCCGAGCCTGCTGCCATGATACCCTGCTGTGTTCGAGGGCTTTATGAAATTCTCAGGGAAAATTTAATTTACTTTCCATGTTCAAAGGCGGGTATGCGCGGGCCACGCTGTTAGAAGAGGAAGTTGCTGTGAAAGCCGACAATGGTGGGCTGGTGGGATGCCAGGGACGCTGGCCAAAGAGCCGGGTCACAAAGAACCTATTAGGTCCGAGGGTTGTTGCCAGGAAGGCCAGAGGAGGAGGACCTCGCAGTGAGCCTTTGTTCTGGGCACCCAGCTACTACTTCCACGCGTAAGCAGAAGTGGGACCGGAGGCCAAAAAAACTCCTGACTTACTCACCGCTCTTCAGTCATGACCATTAGGTTTGTGGGGCGGATTGGGGTGCTGGGTCAGAGCCCTGCAGGCGCCCTGGCTCCTGGTCTGCTTCCCGAGGACTCCAGGAGGGCAGGCACCCTGTCAGGTGGGCCGAGGGGGTGGGACACAGGACACAGGGTCCAGCAGCCAGGGTTACCGGCCAGCGTTTATTCTGGGTCCTATCCAGGGCCTTGGCACTGTAGTGGGTCTTACAAAACCGGAAGCCGCCTTCTGTGCTGGGGCCCTTGCTCAGCCACTTACTATTTATTTTCCCTTTAACTTCTGTGAGCCCCATCTTTTTAATTTTTTAAAATGTTTATTGATTTTTAGAGCGAGAGGGAGAGGGGAAAAAGAGGAACATGCCAGCTGCCTCCCGCATGCTCCCTACTGGAGACCAAGAACCCCGCCTGGGCATGTGCCCTGACCGGGAATCGAACTGGTAACCTCTCGGTGGGTGCATGGGATGATGCCCAGCAACTGAGCCACACCGGCTAGGGCAGCCTCAGTTCTGTGATGAGAAAACCCCCTAGAACAGCTCTTTACAAAGCCTTTGGGAAGATCGGTGACATGACACTAAACCTGAGAGCTCTTCCCAAACACGGAGGACACGGACATCCAAGATGTCTTCCCACAACAGACGTCCATGGGCGCCCACCCTGAGCCACCCCCAGCGCCTGGGCCACACGCCCACCGCTCCCTGGCCCAAGGGGTCTGAGGGTAAGGGCTAACATTTCCCCCTTCCCTCTCTTCTCAGTACAGACAGTGATCAGGGACAGGAAGCGAAAATAAAGCAGGAGGTAAACACTTCATGGGAAATAGGCTTTAGAAGATAGTGAAACTTGTGATCTGCATTGTAATGGAGACCGTGCGGATGTGGTTTGGAATCAGGGCCTGGCACCGCCCTGTCTAAACACGGGCCTCGAACACATTTTTTTTTCTTTTAATACATATTTTATTGATTTTGTACAGGGAGGAAGTGAGAGAGATAGTTAGAAACATTGATGAGAGAGTCATCGATTAGCTGCCTCCTGCACACCCCCTACTGGGGATATGCCTGCAACCAAGGTACATGCCCTTGACTGGAATCGAACCCGGGACCTTTCAGTCCCCAGGCCGACGCTCTATCCATTGAGTCAAACCGGTTTCGGCTCGAACACATTTCTTTCTTTCTCTGCACCACGATTCCATCTGTGAAATGGGGAATGACTGGGATCTATCTGAGGGTGCCGAGACTCCAATGAGCTAACCAGGAAAAGTGCCTCGTGTTGTGCCCAGAAACTCAGCAGTGCGTCCTTGTCAGCTTTATTTTTATCATGCTAAAACTGTTCTTGGGTTTTATATCAGAAACTGGAGGCCTAGCCTCCCTGATCTGAGCTACGCACTAGTGCTTGTGCCTTTGGCCTTTTGTGGTGATGTATGCTGTGCAAATTAGACCAAGTAGATGTTTGAGTAAAGAAACACACCCTGGAACTGTTACAGTTTTGCTTGGTAGAAAGCTACGCGTCCTTCACTTAGCAAATAAACACACACATTCATCAGAACAGGCATGAAAACAGACTGTGGGAAAACGAAAACCCTTCAGATGTCTGTGTTTTGAGAATTAGGTCTAAGAGAAACAGAGAGGGATCCTGACCTATGTGCATTCACTTGTTCTTTTTGTCTGTGGATTTTGAAGTTTAAAAGCTACAGTCACGTTTAGAACACGTGTTGCGTTCTCTTTGGAAAAAAACTGTGTTAGTGCAGCAAACAGCACCATGGGGCGCCACGTAGCTGGGGCTCGGGGCTTGTGCGAGACGCAGGGGCCTTTCTGCCGGAGAGGAAGCACCAACCACAGGAGGCAGGAGCAATGCCTACAGCTCCTGGGGGCAAGTGGCTGCCAGGCGTGGGCCTCTCGTCTCACATTCCCCAGTAACTTAAGTGCCTCGGCACTGAGAAAACCTAAAACGGAACAGGGCTGCCACCTTGTGGCCGTAAGGCGCCAGGTAAAATGAACATGTACGCTTGAAGGGTCAGTTTTGCCCCTGGTACTCTCCCGCGGTTTTGCTCGTGTTGATGATGATGTTGGTACCCAGAAGCCAACATTAGCCAGTGTCTACTCTTCCTGGGTTGGTCCTGTTTCTGAAATGAAAGGGAGGCAGGACTGTTGGGCATTTTAGCTACCAGCCTCAGTACAACAGAAAACCCTGGGGAAGGCGGACTCCTTGATGGCAATTTGGTGACTTCACTCATTCTCTCATCGGCCCATTGCACACACACACTGATTAGGCGTTTAAGGGCCACAGTTTTCCTTGAGTTGAGAGCAGAATGGAATTGGTTACCTGCGGGTGCTTCCTGGAGTGGCAGGTACCTCCCTGGGCTTAGAGATGGAATAGGGAGGAGACATACAAATAAGCAAACATCACAGAAAGAACAGAGATGGAAGAATTCCTGGCTCATCTTTTCTCCCACCCAGAGCATCAGGGTTGGGGTAGAGCGGCGAGGGGACTGGTTGGAACTTTCCTTCCTCAGGTGGGCACAGGGAGAAGGCTGCACTGGCGGGCACCTGGCAGTCACTCCTGGGCTATGTGGTTGGCAGCAAAGCTTCCAGGCTGTGGTTGCCGGATGTGGGAAGCACTCACACTTCCTCCCTTTGCTGCTTCTCTTCCCCCCTTTCTCATTTCCTCTTTCTGGTTGTCCTTATTCCCTTCCATCCCTTTTCACCGTCTTCTTTCTCTTCCTCCCCCGTCGTTCTTTCACTTTATTCTTCTGATCTTTCCCATCTCTCCTCTATATTTCAGCTGTAAAAATAGTCCCTCACTTTTTCCTTGTCCTTTAATTTCCTCTAGGCTGTTCCTACTGGCCCTTCCCTCTCAGTGTTGTTCTGCAGACAAGCCCGCTTATCCAATCTGCAGCCCCTCCCCACTCATCCGTGTTCCCGTGTTTGCCGAATGGGTATGGGGACACTGACCACCCCGATGCTGTGCCACAGGCCTTTGGCTTGAGAAACGAGGGCTGTGGACAGGTCTGGGAAGCGCTGGCCTGAGTACTGCAGCCTCAGGTGTTCACCGTCACTCTGTTTTCCAGCCCCTGCCTTCATAACTACCTCCGCCTTCAACAAGGAGAGAACAAGACAAGTGGCCTCCCCGCACTGGTCTGCAGACACACAGGAAGCCGGGTAATGTGCTTTTCTTTAAACTCGTCTTTTCACTTGTATGGTCGTCAGCCCCCAAGTCAACAAGGTGTGCTCGCGTTTCCCCATTACTTGTTCAGTGCCTTTGGGCAAGGAGGACTTGACCTCGGAGTTGGAAAGCACTGGTCCCCTCTGTTTTTGTTGGACTTTAAAGCTGCATCTGTCTCTGAGGTCTGACTCCCCAGAAACACGCTATATAAAAACGGGGTGATAACACTGTCAGTCTCTCTGGGACCATGGACTCCAGCACCTCCTCTTTGGGGAACTTGAAACTGGCCCAGGCCTGAGCTCTGAGGGTTTCTAGGGACTCATGGCCCAGGCTGGGAGGGCCCACTCTCCTGCTGTCGGAGTAGGGCACCAGGTGGCTGCACGTTCAAATCCCCACTGCTGCTCACTGGCCACCCCAGCCTTTTCTTGAAAGACGAGGCTGTCAATACCTACCATGTGGGGTTCTTATGAGAACTGAATTAGCGAACATCACTGAAGAGGTGGCGGGGTGAGCTGTCTGGAGTTGATGGGAGCTGCGCAATACTTTCCTACCTCAGTACTTTAAGATGCCTAAATGAATGACACCTGCTGTTGTTGGATTATTATTTTTTTAATATTTTATTAATTTTTTTTACAGAGGCAGGGAGAGAGAGCATCCAGAGTCATCGATCAGCTGCCTCTTGCACACCCCCTTCTGGGGATGTGCCCGCAACCAAGGCACATGCCCTGACCGGAATCGAACCTGTGACCCTTCAGTCCGCAGGCTAACGCTCCATCTACTGAGACAAACTGGTTTTGGCTAGATTATCTTTCAAATACACACACAGTTCTATTGATTTCAGAGAGAGGGAGGGAGAGGAAAAGGGATAGAAACATCAATGACAAGAGAATCATTGATTGACTGCCTCCTGCATGTCCCTCATTGGGGATTGAGCCCAAAACCCAGGCATGTGTCCAGACTGGGAATCAAACTGTGACCTCCTGGTTCATGGGTTGTTCACTGAGTCACGCCTGCCAGGCTAGAGATCTTTGAAGTTGACATTCCACCTAACTTTCCATCTAACTAATTACAACTCATAATTCTAGCCCATTTTAGCATAGTTAGAACCTAAAATGCAACATTCATAGTTTTTACTCTGCTTTATTTTCCCCAAAGAATTATAAAATTGTGTTGCTTTTGAGAACAAGACTCTGAACATTCACCCTCATTCTAGTCATAGTGAGAGTTTTCCAAGTGTGATGTCAGGTGACACTAGCCTCTGTCACAGACATGACTTGGCTTCCCATTTCCTTTTACCTGTGATGTCCAGTATAACTTTAATGTTTGACTTCAAGTCAGAACTCTAGTCATTACCCCAGACTGTGCAGGGAGGGTCCTGGGGGTGTCTGGGGAACTAGTGCTTGCATGGGCATCAAGGACAAACCTTCCTGGGACTGACATGTTCTCAGGCTCAAGCAAGTTCTTGTTCAATTGATAGAATTCCTTAAAATGTCAGCAAACTTATCAAGGGCGATTTTCCCACTGAAATATGCTTTTATATACAGCTTAGTGGTCAGGCCAGACAGGATACAGAATATCCGGGTTTCTGCAGATCCATGGTGGCCAGGTAATCCAGTCATGGATGAAGAGCCTAGGTTCAAGGCAGTTGTCACCGTCCAGCGAATGAGAACCGGCACTGGGACCAGGGAGGGACCTGTGCAGCTCTGCCTGCTCCAGGCGGTCAGGTGTCCTTGGGGACGACAGGCTTCCTGAGGCTGTCAAGAGGACTTAGCCACTTCTAGCGCGAGTAAAATGGTTCCTGCTTCTGCTCTAGGTACTGCATGGAGTTCAAGACTGAGTCACTGACTCACCACTGCGCCAGGGAAAACCGCCCTCTGACGCGATGGATGCAGTACCTGCGAGAGGGGTTCACGGTGTGTGTCAACTGTCAGCCTCCAGCCATGAACTCGGCAAGCCTCCGCTGTTCCGGAGACGGCCTGGACTCCGATGGGTAAGTGACGGAAAGGGGTTGAAGGACTTGTCCTGTTACTCATTCGCAGAGATCTGTCCTCTGTGTGTCCTCAACACATGACCGGTACAGAGCACATGAGGCGTGAGTTGGAGAGTTAACAGGGAGTGTGAAGACTCTCCTGGCCATTCGAGAGTCCAGTTCACACTGTGGGACTTCAGGGGTGAATTCAGATTCTGGGGCACAGTTCCTAAGTGACTACCAAAGACCACCCTAAATGACTTAGTCATTTAGGTGATTTAAAATATGTAGATTTCTGAGTCCCACCTGAATCTGCACCTTTAGGGGTGGATTTAAAAAATATACATATATTTTATTGATTTTTCTTACAGAGAGGAAAGGAGAGAGATAGAGAGCTAGAAACGTCGATGAGAGAGAAACATCGACCAGCTGCCTCTTGCACACCCCCCACTGGGGATGTGCCCGCAACCAATGTACATGCCCTTGACCGGAATCGAACCTGGGACCTTTCAGTATGCAGTCCGATGCTCTATCCACTGAGCCAAACCGGTTTCGGCTAGGGGTGGATTTTTAACAATCTCATAGGTCGGGGATCAGCGAGTATTTTCTGTAGGCACCAAACAATAGATATTTTTGGGCCACATAGTCTCTATCACAAGTACTCAACTCTGCACCATAGCATAAAAGCAGCCAGACATACTATGTAAACCGATGAGCCTAGCTTTGTTCTAATATTACAGTGTTAGTGGGCACTAAAATTTGAATTTCCTATTTTGATTTTTATCAACTCTTTCAAAATGTCTACAGAAAAGTGTGGGGTGGACTGGATTTGGCCCATGGATTGCAGATCGCTGACCCTTGCCCAGATGGTTCATTCCTGCAGCTGGTTCAGAACCATTGCTTAGTGTAGTCATGAGATCATGGTTGAGATAGGAGTGGAAGGCTCAGCTTTTCAGGGTCATAAACCTACAGAAATCTTCAGATTGTCCTAAAGAATTGCCCCATAACTCATTATCAGTTAAAACTAATAATGCTATTTGTAACCAAGAGAAAGGTAGACTTCGTGCTGGGCACGGATCACGGTTTTTAATTATGTCAGATGGAACTGGTAAAAATACAGATTAGAAAGTAAAATATGGACCTTTCTAAAGGCTTAATAACTTGAATTTTCTTTTATTAGTCACTTGTGCCTAACAGCCTCTGTGTTGAGTATACCATATGAACAATAAAGTGGGTAAGGAATTCATATGAAAGAGAAACTTAATACTTAGACTTATTACTTTTTCTGAATACCTCATCCATATTTGACTTGAAATGAATTTATAATTTAATTTGTATCCATAAAGTACCTTAAACCCTGGCTGAGGTTCCAGTGATTTTAAATATAATAATCTGGCTTTACTCTTTCATTTTTTTTCATTATGGAATCAAAGAGTTGGAAAGGATTATAAGAGATTATTTGGTTCAGACCCCTCTAATTTAAATATACATGACACAGGAAGCCTTTCCATTATGTGGCACTTTATATACTCAAGTCAAGTAACAAATACAGTGACCTCAAATTTCAATAGAACCCAAAGGGAAACTCAGTTTGCAATCATTTCAAAAAATTTCAATTTACAATGTATTTAAAAACTCCATGTATGATGATTAGAATTTTTAGTTTGCTTTAGGTGTAAATAACATTTCACAATATTGTTTCAGAAATCAGATTCTCCACTGGCAAGCAATTGGCAACCCTCGATGTCAAGGAACTTGGAAAAAAGTCCGGCGACTAGACCAGTGTTCTTGTCCTGCTGTGCACAGTTTTATATTTATATAGACCGTAAGGTAAATCTCAAAGTCTGTTTGTAAACAGGTTAAATACTATCAAGTCATGTTTAATGCTTCATAAACCTTGAAAAATTGTGTGGCCGGGTTCCTGAGACACGTCATTGCCATACTCTGAAGGAGAAAGACAATTTAGGTGCTAATTTTCAAGAAACATGGCGCTCAGTTGAGGACTCACCCTGAAGTCTCCTGTGGTTTTGTGTCCTTGACCTCCCACATAGTCTTCTCATTCTACAGGTGGTCCATGCAACACAAAATACATTTGTTTGCACTAGAATTACTACAACATAGTCCATTTGTTGGTAAGTTGTCATATAAGGGTATCCATGCTTTACAGAAAGGGGAGAAAAAATGCAATATTCAATCTTCAAAAATGTATAGATATATGAACACTCACATTTCTTATGTTATTTCCACAAACTCTGAAATGACTAATTTCAAGCAAAAATCTCACAAAAATTTTCCATAGGACAAAGTATTTAAGATATAGTAAACATTCTGTAATAATCCAATAGCTCTGCAAAAAATACTTTTCAATTAACTGAAGAATAGTTCTTCAAAGAGCAATGAGTTCCTTTAAATATACTTTTAATGAGAAACTTTGGCACCAATGACAAACAATTATGAAAATTCTACCATCTTTAGAATCTAAGATTATTGCTAAAGCCTGAAACTGACCAAAATCATCTTTCAAATTTAGTTGTGAACTCACTACTTATTTTCTGCAGCATATCATATTCATTTTCTTACGTTTGGAGTGGAAGACAGGAATAGACATTTTCCATCTCTATTAAGCTTGCTATTGAAGGCTGGGATTTTATTATAGATCTTTGACCTCACAAGTAACAAATACAGCGACATAGAGTACTAGTCTTATTTATAATTGGAAAATCAGTGAGACAAAGTCACTTAAGCATCTGGGATGCCAAGTGATTCTGCAAGTCAGCCACGGAGCCAATCCGGCTTCTCACACAGAAGTGGTTCGATGGGAAGCCGGACTATGCCAAAGACGGCGCTGTAAAAGCGCAGCCCTTTCCTTTAACAAATCTTAAATCCAGGATATTTTCTTTGGAAAATTGAATCTCAAGATTTAAATTGTATGAAATTCATTTGTATAAAATATTTTACACTAGCAAATGATTTATATTTCTCTATACTTACCATGTAATGACAATAGCAAGCTTAATAGAGATGGAAAATGTTTAATACTGAGAGTATTTAATTTCCTGACTAAATATTCACTTAACTATCTGATTTTTGTGGTAAATTCTTCAGAAATTAATAAACAAATTTACGTCTCATCAAGGGTTAAGAGTTCAATTGTAAGTTCAGTATTAACATTTTATGATCATTTCTAACATTTGTCAAGCAAGGTTTTTGAAAATATACCTGGGTAGTTTTCAATGTTACTTAAAATTTTTATACCAGTAAATAAACTTTCTGTTCACATTTTAAAAAGCTCTTTACTTGTTTGATATGTCATAACATTTAGCATATTTGAATTGCATAAAATCAAATTTTTACTTTATACATTTCGTTTTTAATGCATTGCCATTAATTACTTCCATCTTGTATATTTTTGTAATTTCTATTCCTGAGAAAAATTTCATTAGCTAGACTTAACTTCTAATAATAGTTTGAAATGCTTATTAATTCTTGCAAAGCCTAAGAAATAAGGTCAGAACTGAAACATGTAGTCCACGTGATTAATGAAGAAGCAAAATTTTTACTTTCAAAGTTAAAGATGAAATATTTAAAGGAGGATACCAAAGAGGTCTTAATGAGTACTTTAGAGTTAGGGGCCTGTCCACAGGAACTCTGCAATGGTATATTGTCCCTAGAGCTAATTAATATTAATGGGTTGATTTTCAAAAGTGCAGGTGGAAAGTAATTTGAACAAAAACACACACACCCACACCCAGGAAGGGGAAAAGAACTCTGGATCATTTAAATGTTAGACTCATCAAGAAACAGAGGACCCAAATAAAATCAGAAACGAAAGCGGTAAAATAATAACCGACACCACAGAAATACAAAGAATTGTGAAAAACTATACACCAACAAGCTGGACAACGTGGATGAAATGAACAAATTCTTTAAAAAATAACAATCTCCCAAAACTGAATCAGGAAGAACCAGAAAACCTGAATAGGCCAATAATAACTGATGAAATAGAAGTACCGTAGTAATAAAAAAAACTCCCAGCAAACAAAAGCCCTGGTCCGAATGCTTCATAGGGGAACTTAATACCTATCTTCAAATTATTCCAAAAAGTCCAAGAGGAAGGAACATTTCCAAGCTCTTTTTATGAGGCCAGCATTATCCTAATTCCAAAACCAGATAAAGACACTACAAAGAAAGGTAACTACAAGCCAATATCCCTGATGATCATAGATGCTAAAATCTCCAACAAAATATTAGTAAATAGGAGCCAGCAATGTATTAAAAATATCATACACCATGACCTAAGGGGATTTATTCCAGAGATGCAAGGCTGGTACAATATTCACAAATCAGTAAACGTGATACATCACATAAGCAAATTAAAAGAAAAATCACATGACCATATCGACATAGAAAAAGCATTTGGCAAAATCTAGCATCTATTTTTTTTTTTTTTTTTTAATTTCAGAGAGGGAGAGAAAAAAGATCAGTGATGAGAGAGAATCATTGATTGGCTTTCTCATGCATGCCACCCACTGGGGATCGAGTCTGTAACCCAAGAAATAAGTTGTTTAGTTCTATTCTGGCATGCAAATTTTTATCAGCCATCTTGTCTAGATATGTGCAAACAATGCAAAATAAACCTGATTCTGCCCTCTGAAGATATTCTAGTGATGGTTCATACAGTACTGCAAGTTGATTTAGAAAGCAAAGACCTGACCATTCTGAGTATAAAGCAATGCTGAGAATATTCAATATGAAGAGCATATTGATACAGAAATGAAACTGCTAGGTCAAGGTGACAGCTGGATATACTCACTTACCCTCTCCTCTCCCAAGTCCCACTGACATTACAAGACTTACAAAAGAGGTTCATAACATAGAGGAGGAGGAAGGTGGTGTGAAAATCAGCCCAGATTTTGAAGACTGGAAACAAACAGGATTCCACTGATGAATAAACCAGAATTGAGGGACTATACCCTTTAGAATATGTAGATAAGAAAATGGAATCAGAGGTGAGAGCCATTCTTCCTGGGAAGGAAAGTCCCACTGAGCACCAAATAAGGTGACTTTTAAAAAACCGCTACCCTGAGAGCAAATAAATTTAAGGACTAGGAATCAAAGGCAAGAGTCAGCAAACTTTAGGCTAAATCTTGCTGGCTATTTTTGTAAATACAGTTTTAGGGAACACAGTCACGCCCACTCGCTCACATATTTATGTCTATGGCTAATGCCAAGCAGAACTGACAGAAGAAACCACAAAGCCTAAAATATTGTATCTGGCCCCTTTCAGGAAGTTTGCCCACTCTCTGGCTTACACCATTAACATTTAATGTAACTATTTTTAAAAAAATGTTTTTATTGACTCAAGAGGGTGAGGGAGAAACATCAATCGACGGCATCCTACATGCGCCCTACTGGGGTTCAAGCCCACAACGCTGGCATGTGCCCTGGCTGGGAACAGAACAGGCAACCTCTTGGTGCATGGGATGGCACTCAACCACTAAGCAACACTGTCCAGGCTAATGTAACTATTGATGTGGTTAGAATCGGGTGTACTTTTTTTCCTGTCTGTCCTTGTGATTTTGTTTTTGCTCCCCCCCCCCCCGCCTTTGTCTTTCATGTTATTTGAATAATTTTTAATATTCCATTTTAATTTATCAATTCGGTATATATCTATATTCTTTTAAATGGTTGTTCTGGGGTTTCAATATCATAGCTAACTTTTTAGTTTAAGAGTTAATACTTTTTTTTTAAAAATATATTTTATTGATTTTGTACAGAGAGGAAGGGAGAGAGATAGAAAGCTAGAAACATCGATGAGAGAGAGTCATCGATCAGCTGCCTCTTGCACGCCCCCTACTGGGGATATGCCCGCAACCAAGGTACATGCCCTTGACCGGAATCGAACCCGGGTCCGTTCAGTCCCCAAGCCGACGCTCTATCCATTGAGCCAAACCGGTCTCGGCAAGAGTTAATACTCTTAATATCACACTGCATGTAAATCAGAAAGTCATCACAGGAATAACTGAAAACAACTCTTGAGAGACTGAATATAAACAGACACTAGTCAGACCTTGGTATGACAACAAACTCTGACCCACAAACTCTGCAGCAACTAGCTGAGGATGCCAAAGCAACCTGTACTGCAATCCACCGACAGGACTTTGTCAATGGCTGCCAACATCCCTATTCTTTGTCCCCACTACCAACTCAGAACCAATCAGAGAAAGCCAAGTATGTTCTCCGAACAATTACACAAGATGCCACTGCTAGCTGGCTAGCTCCCAGCTTTCTCATGCCAATGGCCTCTAGTCAGGGCAGCCTGCTCTCTCCTTTCCCTCTGAAGCTTTCCCACTATAAAACTTGGCCTGCTCAAGTCTCTGCCAAACACAAGTGATGGTGACTGACTCCCTTGTTATAGGAAGCTCTGAGTACCATGTGATACATTTGCACAATGGAATACTATTGGGCTGTAAAAAAGGAAATCTTACCTTTTGTGACAGCATGGATGGACTGGAGAGCATTATGCTGAATTAAATAAGCCAGTTAGAGAGAGACAAGTACCATATAATTTCACTTATGTGGAATCTAATGAACAAAATAAACTAACAAAATAGAAACATACTCATAGGAACAGAGAACAGTCTGACAGCTGTCAGAGGGGAGTCAGGTTGGGGAGTCAAGTAAAAAGGTGAAGGGATTAAGAAAAAAACAAACAAGCCCCCCCCCCCCCCCCCAAAAAAAAACCAGAAAAAAAGCAAACCCGAAACACAAAACTAGACAGACAACAGTATGGTGATTACCAGAGGAAAAGGGGTGCTGGGGAGGTAGAAAAGAGTAAAGGGGGGGATAGATGGTGATGCAAGACTTGACTTGGAGTGTTGAACACACATTACAATATACAGATGATGTATAGAATTATACACCCCAATAAATTCAATTAAAAAAAAAAAAAAAGCTGAGTAAACAGCCTGTTTGCTCTCATTTTTGAGTGGTCTTTATTTATTCCCACAACTCAAATGCTCCAAAGCATAATAGGTAAATAACTATGATATAATCATAGGATGTATCACTGTACAGAAATGAAAATGAACAAGCTACAGCTACATATAAATAAATATGTTGGATGAAAGAAAAAATAGCAAAGAATACATAGAATAATTAATTTAATTTCCTTAAATGCCTCAAATCATTCTGCCTTTGCAGACTGGCTCCATGGTGGGGTCTTAGTCCGGCTACTTACCGTCTGTGCTGTAGCCTTCACCTCCAGCACATGAGAAGCCCAACGCTACTTCACTGGTGAAGGCCTAGAAACCTCTCAGGTGTTTTCTGAGACTGTCCAGTTCTGGGCATGGGCATGGCCTAAATTCTCCGGTTCACTCGTCCTTCAAAGCCCTCAACCCATGAATCTTCCTCTCAGGATTTCCAGCCTGTCTGCTGCCTGCCTCCTCTCTGCCCCTAGCCCCAGGCAGCTGTAGGTAATGTTTTTAAGGCTGAGAATTCAGAAGAGGGCAAAACAAAGACAAATCTCTGAATAAAACCCCCGAACTGGTTAAAAGACGCTACCACAATTCTGAGCACAGGGTCCGCGCTGCCCTGTCAAGCTACACCGAGTAATATACTCTAGTTTTAGAAAAATTTATATTGGGATATTTTCAACAAAATCGATATAGAAAAAAATATTGGGGGAACCTGGAGCAAATATACATGAGACCTCTCTGTATTATTTCTTACAACTGCATGTGAATCTACAATAATCTCAACAAAAATTTTAATTAAAAAAAAATCAGATTTAAGATGACAAAATTTAAAAATACATTATCATTTATTTTGCTCTTTTTATGTTTCCAAAAGTTATATGATAAAAATTTTTTAATTAAATCTAACCTAGCTTTTAATAAGTAAAATAAAATTTTAAATAAGCAAGCACCACACTATAGTATAATTGATAGTAATCAATTATAAGTAATCTTTTTAAAAAGATTACTTAGCAACTTAGATTTATTTACTGCATGTTTGAAACAAGGAAGTTGACTTACAGGTCCTCGCTGGTTCATGCTGCCTGCTTTGGCACTTACCATCAAAATGTCTGCAAGAAACACAGTGACAGCATCCAGTCTAACAAAACAGACCAAGCCAGGAAGCACAGAATAATCACCTACATTTCTGTTCACTCTGCGTAGAGTAACAAATTCAGGTACAATGGGAAAGTCATGTATAATGCAGTAAGAAATGAAATACAGGTTACAAAATACTATCATTTAACTTTTTATGCAAATAGTTCATTATTTTCACTCACTTGTTAAATAAATAAAGAACATGTAACTCAAATGCTAAATAGCTAAATTCTCTAAAGAATTAAATGTTGGTGAAAACTCGAAACTGTCTAGTAAAGTATGTGTGACCTTGTTTAGTATTAATCATACATGTGAAAATGATCATGGTTAACATCAATGCAAGCATTTACAGAACATTATTTAGGCACATGTTGATATATTAAACAAAAATATCAGAGAAAGTATTTATGACACCAGGTTATAAATAAGCTTTACTTAAAACCATTTTTGTTACAGTTTTAACATTGAAACAAAAGTCAAATATTCCTAAATGAAGCAAATCTTGGTAATAGTACAAATTTTGTCCTATGGTATTACTATTTAAGATTTTTCTTTTATAGAAAACTACTGAAAGGAAAATTTAAGTATGCTAAAACCCAGACTACTTTGTATCATTCTATAAGCAAATGTCTTAGTAGTTACTGTATCAAGGCCATAAATCAAGTCAATACCTCTTATGTGAAAAGACCATTATTCTTCACTGATTTAGAAACTTCACCTTCATTTATATGTTCTGGACTTGAAGTCAGCATACAAACCCAGAACAGGTTAATAGAAATACATTTTTTTCTCTCAGTAGGTTTTCATCTTTTTTACTAGTACTAGATTTGGGGGTGAGGTAATGAGAGCATCAAGGTTTGACAAATTTACATTTTATCCAAGTAAAAAGGATCTTAAAGAAAAATACTAAATGTTTTAAACAAAAATGTTAACATAGATCAATGACCACCAAGTTTCAAACAAAAGGTGATGATCAAAATATGTAATTGACCTTTCATCATCAAGCTTTTACACATTTAATCATCACTGTCTGAGCAAATCAGTTTTAGCTTCTTCATAGTCCTCCATCTGTCTTTTAACATAACACTTGTTCGATTGTTGAATTTATAGTGTAATAGTATTTTAGTCCAGTTTCCCTCTCCATATTTCCTCACACCAGACAGCAGATTCTTGTCTTCTTCCCAAATCCATGCCTTTTGATAAAAAATTAAAGTTATTTAGAGAAACAACTCTTTATATTTTTTAATGAGGTATAATTGACAAATAATATATTAGTTTCAGGTGTACAACATGATTCACTATTTGTATAAAAAAATCATCAGAATAAACCTAGTTAACATCCATCAAAAGTAAAATAGTTATTTATAGAAAGAAGTCTTTAAAGAAAATACCTACTATAAATAGAACTATTTAAAATATTAGTTTCTTAAAGATGGAAGAAATCTGTATACATTTCTTATATTTATGTAAGACCTTGTCTACACTAATAAAAGAGAAACCTGCAAACTGATTGTACCTCCACTATGCCCACAAGCCAATCAGAAATGAGTATGCAAATTAATCCAACCAAGATGGCTGCAGCCATGGAGCTAGCAGGAGGCTTAGGTTTCTCCAGCAATGGAGGAAGCCAAGCTTCCCGCCCACCCTGGCTGGCCCTGGCCTCTACTCAAGGCCACAAAGTTTCAATTATAGGAGATAAATCCTAGACCCAAGAGACTCAACTTGGGTCACTGAGGGGTGTGGCCGGTCTGTAAACCACCACAGGCCCCTCACCCAGGCTGCCCCATGCCCCAAGGGAAACCCCACCCTGATCCAGGACACCCTTCAGGGCAAACCAGTCGGCCCCCACTCATGCAACAGGCCTCTATCTATCTAATAAAAGAGTAATATGCAAATTGACCATCACTCCAACACACAAGATGGCTGCCCCCATGTGGTCAAAGATGGCTGTCCTCATGTGGACAGAAGATAACTGCCACAAGATGGCCTGCAAGGGAGGGCAGTTGGGGGGGGGAGGGGGGAGAGGACCCAGGCAAGCAGGGAAGGGCAGTTAGGGGTAACCAAGACCAGCAGAGGAGGGAAGTTGGGGGCGACGGACCCAGACCTACAGGGGAGGTTAGTTGGGGGGGGCGGGAGGGGGAGACCAGGCCTGCAGGGGAGGGCAGTTGAGAGGACTAGGCCTGCAGGGGAGGGCACTTAGGGGTGACCAGGCCTGCAGGGGAGGGCAGCTAGGTATCATCAATCAGGCTGGCAGTGGTTAGGGGGTGATCAGGTGGCAGGCAGAAGTGGTTAGGGGAAATCAGGAAGGGAGGCAGGTGAGCAGTTGGGAGCCAGCAGTCCCAGATTGAGAGAGGGATGTCTGACTGCCTGTTTAGGCCTGATCCTACTGGGCAGTCGGACATTTCTCGAGGGGTCCCAGATTGGAGGGTGTGTGCTGGGCTGAGGGACAGCCCCCCTCTATGCACGAATTTCGTGCACTGGGCCTCTAGTCCCAATATATAAAAACCCTAGGTCCATCACTATTGTAGGCTTGACCAATTAAAGTCAGTCCTAAAGTCAGCAATGGATTGCCACGGCGACCCAGCACTGACTGCTGAGGGGGCTGCCAATCAGGCCTGGAGAGAGACCTGCGAATCAGGCCAGGAGAGAGGCCTGAAGAGAGAAGCAGGGTCTGATCCATAGCCTCTGAGGCACCTGTTGATCAGCATTAGCTTCTTTCTCTCAAGGTCTGGCCAGCAGCCACGCTTCCATTTCTCTCCAGGCCTCCACACGGGCTGGTGACCAGCCCCACCTTTTGATCAGGCCCCATTGATAGGCCCAGAGACACTGACTGGCATTGAAACCAACCAATCAGAACCAAATTGGCTGGCAGAGGGCAGTTGGGGCCATCAGGCTGGCAGGGGAAGGCAGTTGGGGGGGAGGGGGGAACCAGGCTTGCAGGAGAGGGCAGTTGGGGGCAACCAGGCTTGTAGGAGAGGGCAGTTGGGGTTGATTGGGTCAGCAGGGGAGCAGTTAAGCATTAATCAGGCTGGCAGGGGAGCAGCTGGGGGGTAATCAGACTGGCAGGCAGAAGCAGTTAGGGGCAATCAGGCAGGCAGGCGAGCAGTTAGGAGCCAGCATTCCCAGACTGTGAGAGGATGTCCAACTGTTGGTTTAGGCCCAATCCCACAGGCTGGGCTGAGGGACACCCCCCCCCCCACCAGTGCACAAATTTCTTGCACCGGACCTCTAGTATTTATCATAAGATTTTTAAGGGCCCTTACTATTACTGTTCATTTTACATAAGTGCTCAGATGCTTAAAATCGAAGAGCTACAGAATGATAGCGCGAAAAGTAAAAGCAGACACTAGTGATACCAGATTTCTTTTGGGGGGTGGGGAGGGGCATAGTAAACAATGACAGACAGTATCATCTAAATCACATGTGTCAAACACACGGCCTGCGGGCCAAATCCGTCCCGCCAGGCCTTGCAATGTGGCCCACACCGCGCTGTCATCACTGCACTCCGCTGCGTTTCCATCACAATGACAGTTTATGACTGTTCAGTAAACCATTCGGTCCGCGATTTAGGCTGGATTTTAGATTTTGGCCCCTTCTCTGATTGAGTTCGACACCCCTAATCTAAATGGTATTTTTAAAATTATGTAGTTGATATCCTGTTTTGTTTTGAATACAAAGAAAGACATAAACAGTTTTTTCAAATATATCCATAAATAACACCTATCCCATTTGAAACTGTTGCCCTAAAAACTACAGGGAAAGATTAAAAGTATGAAGCAGGGATTTATAATTTTTGGATCAATATGCAAAGAACTTAAAAATTATTTCTTTAGACCTCAGAATAAGAAGAAAAAAATTGAAGAAAGTTAACAACTCTTCTTAGATCCACCAGAAAAATAATGTCATTTGAGGTAAACTAGTGCCCTGAACACTAGAAAGACACAAAAGTGGACGCCGAAAGTCGCAGCTGGCTAGGAGCAGCTCACAGCTGGAGCCAATACTGGGAGAAATTTTTAACTGTGATGGACAAATTGACAGAGGCTCACTATGGACAAGTTTCAATTAAAAAACGGTAGGGTCCCGCTGTAGCCAGTTTTGCTCAGTGGACAAAATGTTGGCCTGCAGACCAAAGGGTCCTGGGTTCGATTCCAGTCCAGTGCATTTACCTCAGTTGTAGGCTCCTCCCTGCCCTGGGTCTAGATGGAGTGTGTGCAGGAGGCAACCATCAGTGTTTCTCTCACATCAGTATTTCTATGTCTTTCCCTCTCTTTTCCACTCTTACTAAAAATCAATGGAAAACTATCCTTGGGTGAGGATTAAAACAACAACAAAAAACTTTAGTGTCCCAATCTTAGTGGGGTCAACAAACTTCTGTGAGTTTTACTCCCACCAGATTATCAGGGTGAAGAGGAGGGAAAAAGTAGTCATTTTGAAATACATTTAGAGCATTCTGTTCTCATTAATAAAAGCATGTCCTCAAGAGACACTAATTTTGTCAAGCATAAATGACATGTAGACACACTCAATTCTAGTCCTCTCTAGTCTTCCCATAGGGAAAGGGAAATATCCAACTTCAGCACCCTCTAGCCTTCTTATTTCACCCAAGTGGGGGAAACAAACGCTGAGAAGCCCATATGAAGGTCTTAGCCTATGACACAGGATCACTAATAACAATCACAGAATTACAGAATGCTTCCTTCCCCCGTCCCCATCTTACCACCACATTATCTGATCTTCTGTATACCAACTGCCTCAGCTGAATGAGCTGCCTTGGACTATCTAAGGAGGAGTCTCTAGGAAAATCCAAATGCAACAAGGGAGATAAAAACAAGAAAATTTTAGCTCCTGATGTTTACAGCTACAGCAAATAGTAAATAAAGCATAATTCTTCACCAAACAAAACCTCACAATAAAGGTTCCTTTGATACATCATGTCCAGCTATCAACAAAAATGATAAGAAAAACTGAAAGGTGAAAAACACAATCCGAAGGGATAAAGCATCAGGATCAGCTATAGCAAAAATTTTGGCATTATCTGAGTGGGAATTTAAAATAATTATGATTAATATACTAAGGCTCCAGTGGACAACGTATGAAGAAACGGATAAATGTAAGCAGAGATATAAACCCTAATGAAGACTCGAGAGGAAATGCTAAATCAGCAACCCAGTAACTTCTGATGGGCTTATCAGCAGAACAGACATGGACTGAGGAAGAATCAGTGAACAGAAACTTTCCAAATTGACAAGTGAAGAACAGAAATAAAGAATAGCCAACAACTCTGGGACAATTACAAAAAGTGTAACATACACATAATAGGACACTGAAAAAAAGGGAGAAGGCACAGAATAAAGATTTAAATTAATGACAAGATACCAAAACAGGTCCAAGAAGATCAGAGAAAACAAAGTAGGGGGGAAAAACGTGTGTATATATAAAAACTACACTTTGGCACATTACATTCACAGTGCAAAAAAACAAAGACAAAAATATGTAAGACTATTGGTGGCATAAGTTCAGCATTTTCTTGTTCTCTTTTGGGAATTCACCCAACAGCAACATGGAAAAAAAAAATTCCAAACTCTGATAAAGTTAGAAGACCCTCTATGACTTGAACTATAACAGGTGAAAGGGATACATTATCAGTGGAAATCGATGAAAGGTCTGTGAAGAAACAGGGTATAGTCACCTTGCTTACAGATGTCTTACAGATCTCTGCCTGTGGTGAACACTTCCAAAGTAAGAAACATCCTGAGGTGCACACCTGCCTGCCTGCCTGCCTGAATCCCTGGACTGCAACAGCAAGAGCCTCCCTCAATCTGCAACAGTTCCAAAAGTAGAGGTGCTGAGACTAAATAAGGAATCACAGAGATAAGCAATATGTGCAGGAAGCAAAGCAAAAGTAGTTATTGCTTACTATGTACACTGGGAGAGAAGGGAGGCCAAAATAAGCTGAGTTATAGAAGATATTCCTATAGCCTGGAGCTTGACCCTAGCTCTAACATCACAACATAAACCCTTTGCAAAAAACTTACCAAGGAAAAAAAATCACGTTTAACACACAGAGTAAGAAAAAGGTATAGGATCACTTTCCATTTCCAGTATTGATAGAACAAGGACCAGATTTATTCACCTGCGGTAAACAACTAGAAAACCAGACACAATTCAGGGAACAATCGTTTTAGACACTAGACAGATGGCACAGGACTATATTCATTCAGAGAGGAAATAAGTAAAGTGAGTCTTAAAACTGACCAATCTTAACTTGCTGAATAGAAAAATGTCTTATCAAATAGTGTGTTTTTGTTTTGTTTTTTCACAGAAGAACCTTATTTAAATCAGACTTCTATTAGGAAAATACTATCTAATAAAGAGGGAATATGCTAATTGACCATCATGCCCTCACAAAGATGGTGATGCCCCCAGCCAATAAGGAGGAATATGCTGACTGCCACACCCTCAAAGATGGCGACGCCCAGTCCCCTCAGTCCCCACAGAGTGCCTGCCTCCGGAGTCCCCCAGTTCTCCCAACCTCCCAGCTGCCCAGGGGCACTCGAGGCTCAGGTAACCAGGGCTGGTCAAGGCTTGTGCTGCCGGCAGTGGCAGCAGCAGAGATGTGATGGGGGCATCACCTTCCCCTGATCAATAGGTCACCTTCTGACACTGAGGGCTCCCGGACTGTGAGTGGGGTCAAGCCAGGCTGACAGAACCCCTCTTCCAGTGCATAAATTTTCGTGCATTAGGCCTCTAGTATGAATATAAAAGTTCACTATGCATATTTATGTCTCACATTAGATCTGATGGACTGACTCTATGATAATATAACAATGTTTAAATAAATGTCATTATCAATACCCAACTTAAGACTATTTTTAAAATGTGGATGAAGTGTTTTCTTGGAATTATGAATAGGCAGATTGGTCAATTATACTAAGACTAGTGCCCTGGCACACAAAATTTGTGTGGCAGGGAGGGAGGGATGTTCCTCAGCCCGGCCTGCATCCTCTTCAATCTGTGACCCCTCAAGGGATGTCTGACTGCCGGTTTAGGCCGGATCCCACAGGCAGTCAGACATCCCTCTCACAATCTGGGACTGCTGGCTCCCAAATGCTCACATGCCTGCCTGCCTGATTGCCCCTAACCTCTTCTGCCTGCCAGCCTGAATGATTCTTAACTGTTCCCCTTCTGGCCTGATCGCCCCCAACTGCCCTCCCCTGCCGGCCTGGTCCCCCCACCCCAACTGCTTTACCTCCCCTGCAGGCCCAGTCACCCCCAACTGCCCTCCCCTGCTCGCCTGATTGCCCACAACTGCCCTCGCCTGCTGGTCATCTTGTGAACACATAGGGCCAGCCATCTTGTGCTTGGGCATGACAGTCAATTTGCATATTACCTCTTTATTATATAGGATAGCAAAATCAGAGACAGCCCAAAAGAAACATTTATACTCACAATTTTTTTTTTTTAGGGTTGAAAAGAAACATGAAATAATCACAATTATCCAAGTTATGACTTTACTGTCCATTAAGTATTATTTAAAAATAATAAATAAGTACCTGTTTTTTTCTAGATCGGTAATTTTTAGAAGTTTCTGGTTGATTGTTTAAAACATCCTTTCTCTTTCCTTCAGTGGCGTGTCTGTTTCCCTCTGTCTTTCTTCTAGCTAAAAGTAGAAAAACTTCCATCAAAAATTGTTTTACATTAAAAGAAAATGAGGAATTGCATTTTAAAAAATTACAATGAAATTCTTATTTACTGTTTTAGTGATTTTAAAGGGAAATAATTCTTTGTGTTTAATTCTCCCCCCTTTGAATCTTGAGACAGCATTACACAATGCAAAGATCAGTACTAGAAAATCAGAGGGGGTGTGTTTTGAATCTTGATTATTTTGCATGACTTTAAACAAGTCATCTCACCTCTCAGATCCTGCCTTTTCATCATCTGTTAAATTTTCTTTGGATAATATTTAAAAAGTATTTGATACAATGTAGTATAATTCTTTCCTCATCCCTTCTTATTTATAGTTTAGTAAAACAAGAAATATATATGTAACTGAAAAGACATAGAACTATAATTATTGTACGAAAATTTTTATACAGAAAACCTAAAAGAATCTAAAAATAGAACTAAAAAAGGTTTAGCAAGATGGGTAGATAATAAACTATTATTTGTTAGCTCAATAAACAAAACTAAATAGAACTTCTGTACAATAACAGTTAAAATATTTAATTAAAACAGCTGAAAGATAATATTTACAGTATCAAAAATGTAACATTCTTAGGGATAAACATAGCAAACGTGATCAAGACTTATATATAGTAAATTATAAAGCATTTGTACACATATGTTATAACAAAATATATAAGAATCTAAATACAGAAATACACCTTTTGTTCATGCACAGGAAGATTCTCTCCAAAATTATCTATTGTTACAATGCAATCTCAAATTAAAATTTCAATAGGGTTCTTTGTAGAATTTAAGATTATTCTAAAACTATGTGTGTTAGGAGAGATAGTTCACCATGAGCATCTCTACAGTTCTTGCTGAATGTACAAGGCTTGTTTATTTCCTGATATCAAGCAGTTTCTGTAGTTAGTCAAATAGGCACCTAAGTAGGTCAAGGAAACCAAATTATTTTAGTTTAGAATTATAATTCCTAGGCATTTTGTAGCAACAGATATAGAAAAACAATTTTGAAACTTAACCAACATGAAGCAAATATTTCTTTGAATTTAACTTTACCATCCTTAAAATGAGAATGATGATAACATCTATAGGTAAATGATTTCGATCTGAAGTACATAAATATTAGCAAATAGTGACCATGAAAGTAGCCATAAATTATGAATATATTTATTCAATTAATATTTATTCCAGGCCTTTTATGTACTTGGCATAAAATTGGTACATCTATTATTTTTATATTGATTAGTGTATTTAGGTTTGGATAAATAGGTTTTATAAAAAATCCCCACTCCTGGGGATATTTTTTCGATTTAAAAAAAATATATATATATATATTTTATTGATTTTTTACAGAGAGGAAGAGGGATAGAAAGTTAGAAACATCAATGAGAGAGAAACACTGATCAGCTGTCTCTTGCACACCCTCTACTGGGCATGTGCCACAACCAGGGTACATGCCCTTAACTGGAATCGAACCTAGGACCTTTCAGCCCGTAGGCCAACCCTCTATCTACTGAGCCAAACCGGTTTTGGCTCCATTGACTTTTAGAGGGGGTAGGAGGGAGGGTGAAAAGGGAGAGAGAGGGTGGGCAAGGGAAAGAGAGGGTGGGCAAGGGAGGAGAGAGGAGGTGAAGGGGAGGGGGGGGGAGAGAGGGAGGGAGGGAGAGAAACATCAACATGAGAGAAACACATCAATTGCTTGCCTCCAGCAGATGCCTCTGCCAGGGCACAGGGGTGAAGCTGCAACTCAGGTGCCCTTGACTGGGAATCACACCCAGGACCCTTTTGTCCATGGGTCAATGCCCTAACCACTGAGCCACCAACCAGGGCCAATAAGGATTTAAAATCCTTGCATTAGTGGAGTATCTAGAATATAGTGTCAGTTCAATAAACATTGGATAAATGCCTACATACTAAGAAGGAACATATAATCAAATTATAATTAAAAATAACTATGGATTGTTTTTAAGATTTATTTTTTGGTTATTGTTACTTGTCTCTTAAATCAATCCAGCCATGTCTTTAATAAAGATAATAAATTCTGAATGCAATGAGGATAGCTAGATTCTATATATAGTTAATTTTCATATTCAAGGATTCTGTATTTAAAAATCCACCTACTTATTAAAATTTGTAACTCAGTAAGTCAATACTCATAGTGCTTTCATGGTCATTGGTGTACGTGTGCAAAAAATCTGAGTTACCTGAGGTGCACATTTCCAACTGAAGTTAAAGAAGGTGAAGTTCTGCCTTCTTATTTTAGCTCTCAAGCTACAAATAACTTCCCTTAATGATATCAGCTGGTAACTTTGTTGGTAATTTTAAAATGCCCAATTGTACGGGGGAAATGCTATCTAATGTTCCTAAATGCAAGAAGTGCTCCCTCTAGAGAGAATACGATAGATAAGCTTCATTTAGGCATGAAGTTACAGTGCTGTTTGCCATGAGTTCAATGTTAATGAATACACAATATATATTAAATAAGATGTCTTTAAACAGAAACACATAAAAAAGGTTATGTACTGATTAGTTGATAAAACTGTGACCAGAGGCTTCAAGAACCTATCCCATCCTCGCCTGTAGTTTCAGTTTTCACTAAGTCAGTGTTCATGGAGACTTTAAAGAACATAATGTTAGTTAAGTAACTATTCCAAGTTGCTAAATAAAGTTACAGTAGAAAAGCAGTGTACACATTAGCATAAGTCTATAAACTCGGCAGTCAGAGCAGCTAAATTTCTAACACTACCTATAATTGACTCTGTGAAGTCATGACATTTAATCTCGTGCTTCAATGGTCTGAAGTGTGTTCACGCGCTGTGGTGATGAGGTCAAGGGTTGGCTCGCTTTCAAGAACACATCAATTTTCCACTTCTAAAACTGTAGTAAGAGTACTCACTTATAAGAGTTTCTGCTTTTTCTTTCTCATTAAAATCTTCTGATTGGTGTCCGTATTGGGACTTAGATAAGAAGAGATTCTTGTGAGACCTAAATGAAAAATCAAAGCTCGTGACTGGTTTCACAAAAAGTGTTATTTTTTCTCGGTCATTTAGTTTGGCCGGTTCCCTTTGATGCTCTCCTTGCTTACTGTCCCACCTTAACCTATGGCCTCTTAAGATTTTTCATTATCAGACTCACCTTTCTCTCATCACTTATTTTCTCTATCTACTCGGAAAGAAGATTCTTTTTGGCCTTCAATTAGATAGATCAAGAAAAAAAAATCCTCAGACCATAAAGCAAAATTTTTTTTTTTTTAATATATTTTATTGATTTTGTACAGAGAGGAAGGGAGAGAGATAAAAAGTTAGAAACATCGATGAGAGAGAGTCATCGATCAGCTGCCTCTTGCACACCCCCTACTGGGGATATGCCCACAACCAAGGTACATGCCCTTGACCGGAATCGAACCCGGGAACCTTCAGTCCCCAAGCCGACGCTCTATCCATTGAGCCAAACTGGTTTCAGCAATAAAGCAAAAATTTTCATTCTTTGCTATGGCTTATAAGTTCATTTCCCCAAAGAGAAATTCCAAAATTCCTTTACACACAATGGCAGGTATCACTTGACTGTCTTTATAACTTCCAAAAAGGACTTTTCTGAAAGGTAAGCTGTTTGAAAATACAGGTTTAGGCAGAACTTTTTGACAACTCTACAAAATTAGTATTATTCCAATTTTATCAAAATGCAAACTATGATGAAAAAAGTAGTTCACTTACCAAGCAGCTATTTTATCATCACCTAAAACCACTCCTTTCACCCCTGTAAGTGCTCTATGTAACCTGCTAATCCTTTCCCTCCCTCCCAAAACTTCCTCCTGTGCTTTCTGGAATGCCATTCCAGCCTCTTCACCCGTACCCCACCTCTTTGCCTTCTTTAATGTGTAGCTCTCCCTTAGGGACAATTTTTCTCTCATTTGTGAACTTCTCAAGTAGAGACTTAATTTTCTGTCTTCCATGAACCTCGGGGTCGCAGAGGTGGATCTTTCTACTTTTCATTTCCTAATGAGTGCCACTTTCAGGATCCTGCTTCCAGAGACCTTAGCCAGTGAGGACTTGTGCCACTGTGATGCAGCACCACCCACCACCTATTATTCTTCAGTCAACCACTATCCTTCTCAGCACTTCCCATCATTCAGATCTCTATCTCTAACTGCTGCTGTTATCATGAGTTATTTCAGTGTTCCCATAGGTAACGCATATAGCATCCTAGTCTCTCAAATTTCTCATTCCCAATGAGCTCCTCCCCCCGAGATCTGCCATTCCCAACACAATTTCAGTCAGCATCCTGACTTTTCTATCTCTGAAATTATTGATGCAAACTTTCTGCTCTCTGAACATGTGACAATGACTCTCACAGCATTTCTAATAGGTTATATACAGTTTTCCAAGTAATTTCATAAAATTGGAATTTGTGCCCTGGCTGATGTGACTCAGTTGGTTGGGTGTTATCCTATGCACCAAAAGATCTCCAGTTCAATCTGTCTGGATGCTTACAGGAGGCAACCAATCAATGTTTCTCTCTGTCTCCCTCCTTCCCCCACTAAAATCAATAAAAACATGCTTTAAAAAAAAAAATCAGAATTTGGGACAGTCATCAGAAATGTAAGTTCCATCCCTCTCCTGCTGCAACGTCATATTCTTATTTCTGTGGCAGAGGAAGAATTGCTAAACATCTGCTTTCAGTTCTAGTATTCCCTATGCATGCATTCCAACAATGGCCTTGTAGATACAATGTGAAACCACCTGGGTCCCAGAGGCAGGTCTCTCTAGTTTGGAATATCAGGACATGTCAGGGTCTTGAATATCTGCTGACGTAAGTAGGAACAGACAATATTTTTTAAATAATACCATTTTCATGGCAGTTATTATGACCTGTCTAGGTTCTACATGAATTCCTAAAAAGATTTTAAAAACAGAAGAAATGTCTATTTACTTTACCTCATTAAAGATATTGTATCCTGTGAGGATTCAGTTACTACAGATGGTTTGTTATTAACACTGAAAAAAAGAAAATAATTATAAGAATGCAATAAAAATAAACATTTCATAAGAACAGTCCTTTTTTTGCTGAAACCGGTTTGGCTCAATGGATAGAGCGTCGGCTTGGGGACTGAAGGGTCCCGGGTTCGATTCAGGTCAAGGGCATGTACCTTGGTTGCAGGCATATCCCCAGTAGGGGGTGTGCAAGAGGCAGCTGATGGATGACTCTCTCATCGATGTTTCTAACTCTCTGTCTCTCTCCCTTCCTCTCTGTACAAAATCAATAAAATATATTAAAAAAAAACACAAAAACACAAAAAAACAAAAAGAACAGTCCTTTTTACCCTGGCTAGGTAGCTCAGTTGCACATGTGGTAGGCAAACTCATTAGTCAACAGAGCCAAATATCAACTGTACAATGATTGAAATTTCTTTTGAGAGCCAAATTTTTTAAACTTAAACTTCTTCTAACACCACTTCTTCAAAAGAGACTTGCCCAGGCCATGGTATTTTGTGGAAGAGTCACACTTAAAGGGGCCAAAGAGCCACATGTGGCTCGCGAGCTACAGTTTGCCAACCATATAGACCACTGTCTCGATATGCCAAGGTTGTGGGTTCCATCCCTGGTCAGAGCACATATAAGAATCAACAAAGGAATGCATAAATAAGTGGAATAATAAATTAGCATTTCTTTCTGTCTCTAAAAAAAAAACAAGACAAAACAGAATAGTACTTTTCACGCAATTTATTAAAAATTTCAGTGCATAAAAACCATCTTTGCGAAAGAAATCCTGGTAAAACTGGTATATATATATTTCATTACAACATGACTAATTTTTGCCATTAGTCTCTAACTGAACTTTATTTTCTGGTATTTTTTCATTGACTTTTATAAAGAGTGGGAGGGAGGGAAAAAGGGGGAAAAGAGAAAAACATTGATGTGAGAGAGACACATTGCTTGATTGCCTCCCACATGTGCCTTGACCATGGTGGGTATCAATCCGGCAACCCAGGCACATGCCTTTGATCAGGAATCGAACTCACCACCCTTTGGTGTGTGGGTTGACACTCTAACCACTGTGGAACACTGGCCAGGGCTGATGTTTTTTACAAATCCTTCCCCTTTGTGATAGTTAAAATTAGCCCCACAACACAGCATCACCATTTATATCACCATGGCTTCACAGCAACTATTCTCTCCTGAAAGGACACTTCCTCTTCCATTCACCTGTAAAAATCTTCACCACCCTCCAGGCTCTGCTCAGTGCTCAATGTCCTTGAAGCTGTCATGTAGTCTTTCAGCGTGTAAGTCCATCTATACACTAACAAGCTAGGTAATGTCTGTTCGTTTCACATCTATAATTCTGTTGGCCTCAAATAGTTTATAAGCTTTAGCAGAGCACAATATTTCATTTAGTACTGATAACATTAAGGGCTTCATTTTCCCTAGCATTTGTATGACCTTGCAGTCCAACTCTAATTCTATTTGCTTCCAGGATAGCTTTGTTAGTTGCTTACTTCTTGATCTCTACTTTGTGTCTAGTGTTGGTTTTGCTCTCTATGTCTAGTGCACTGCAAGTTCTAATGTATACCTGGTAATGAACTAGGTACCATGGATACAAAGCTAATTAAGAATCTCTAAAGAATTCTCAATCTAGTGGTCAGATGAAGCGGGCTAGCTTACCATTACTTAGGGAAGACGTACGAGCAATGTCTTAAATAGCAGAATAACCCTCAGCGCAGTCAAATACCGTATTTTTCGGACCATAAGACGCACTTTTTCCCCCCCAGAAGTGGGGGGGAAAAGTCCCTGCGTCTTATGGTCCAAATATAGCCTACACATATACTTTTAAAAAAAAGTTTTTTTTACTTGCCCGGCTCTGTGTGGTCTCTGTGTGCTTGCCCGGCTCTAAAATGGTTCTAAATGCTGCTGTTTACTTTACAGGGTTGATTACATGTGTTTATGACTGTGATGTTGGGTTTTAATGCACATAAAATATTTTAGGACACTATTTGTTTCAGAATCTTTTTTTCTTCATTTCCCTTCTCTAAAAACTGGTGCGTCTTATGGTCCGGTGCGTCTTAAGGTCCGAAAAATACGGTAGTCAGATAATAGGGCAAGCGGGATCTGAGAACAGATTCAAGTTTCCAACCTCCACACTGTTTCAGAGCACATGTCCCCTGAGAATGGTAAGTGACATTACATTATTTAAACTGTGTATTTCTTCACTCTCTACTTTTGTTTGGCATATATAACAGAATTTTGCATAAACCATGAAATAACTCTACATAAGCCAAATCAACAAATGTTAATCATCAGCAAGACAATATACCCACGGCTCAATAATTATTTTTGTTAATAATGGCTCACTAGTATCACTTTTACATAAAAAGACTGCATCAGAAGAAAAAAAATATGTAAATGGATTTACAAACCTTTTCTGTACTTCCAAATTAGCTTCAGTTTCTACTTCAACTTCATTACCATTAGGCTTATCTTGAGAAGCTGTTGTTCTCGCTCTTTTACTTTCCACTACTTTTGCTGCTGCCTTAAAAAAAGGGGTTGGGGAAAGAAAGGAATGCATTAAGCCATTTTAAACAAAGAACATTAAATTAAAGCTTCTAATTCTTTGACAGTCATAACCAAAATATCTGTTCACAAGCCAATCAAGGGCACTGTGCTAAAGCTGTGACACCATGAGCAGCTACTTTAGCTATCTGCTTGGTTTATAAGCATTATGCATGTCTTTCCTTGCAAATATGTCATACCTACAATGCTCTCTTGGAAACTTTAAGATAAAAAAGTTACTTTATTTTTTCCAAAAAATATGCAAAAACTTTCAGTAAAATTTAAATTGAAACCAACTTATTTCTTAATTCATTCTAAGTTTTCCCTTTCAACTTTTTATTTTGAAAAATTGCAACTCTTATTTTGAAAAGTTGTAAATATACTAGAAAAATTACCAAGAAACCCTTTACATTCCCTAATTGTAACATTTTGTCACATTCCTTTACAAAAAAATCACTACACAAAATTCTGATTTGCTTTTAAAGGATTTCTATTTCAAGTATTCTTTATTATGTCAATTTCTCCTAAGTCTACCAATCTTTCTGAATATATGCATACCTTCATTAGAAATGTTGATGATTTTTCATCAAGCACATAATTCACAAAACTCTTAATTTTCTCCATCATATGGCTGTAGTTGAAGTGTTGGAAAAAAGAATGAAATGTATCTTTCTGAGAGATTATCATAAGCAATTTTCTTTGTAAAGACTAGAGAAAAGAGAAAAAACATTAACCCATAAATCAAATAAGATACTAGAAATTTTGTCATAAATTAAATATAAATTTGTAAATATAAATTCAAAGACCTACAATTAAGAGTTTAAGATTCTCATATTTTAAATCGCTCACCAATTTATTTTTTTCTGAATTAAAAAACCTTATATTTCACACACATACAAAAAACTTTAAAAAGATTACAAACCTGAATGTCCATTACCAACTTTAAGAACTAAGACATCATCTGTACGATCACAGCCCTTGTTTATAAGTAAGGGCAGGGAACTCAATAAATGTATCAGGCTCTCTGCTGTAATCTGGTGTGTTACACTCCAGGAACAGGAGCAAATTAGACATAGACTGAGCCATACTAAAACTATAACTAACCCTCCACCTGGCTTAGTCCCTCAACAGATGAAAGTGATCACCCATAACTCTGTACAGTAAATGAAAAGATGCTCGCCTGCACGAGTCATCAGGGAAGCAAATTCAAACTCAACACACCCCTGGCCAGTTTGGCTCAGTGGATAGAGCATTGGCCCATGGACTGAAGAGCCCTGGGTTTGATTCCAGTAAGGACATGTACCTTGGTTGCAGGCTCGATCCCCGACCTTGGTCGGGGTGTGTGTGGGAGGCAACCAATTAATTTGTCTCTCTTACATCAATGTTTCTCTCTGTATCTCCCCCACCCTTCCACTTTCTCTCTCTCCCATAGCACTAGAGAAACTGAGATAATATTAATATAACTATTTGGCAGCATCTACCAAAACTGAATGACTATGTTCCTATCCTATTACCTATCAATTCTATTCCTAAGTACATACCAATAAAAACACATACAAGGTGTCCCAAAAAATGTATATGCACTTTGAATGATTAAAAAGTCAGTGTTTATTAACACAGTTCATTTTCAAAATTTAAAAGTATCTGTAGAAACGAATATTGTTTTGTGCCTGTTTCTAAACCGATGAGCGTTCTAGTTCAGGCACTGCTGATAATGCGAAGCAGTGGAATCGCAAATATCAAGAATCATTTTGCCTTAGCCAATTTGCTCAGTGGTTAGTGTTAGCTTGTGGACTCGAGGGTCTGAAGTTTGATTGCGGTCAAGGGCATATACCTCTACGGTTGCAGGCTCAATGTCTGGAGGCAACCAATTGATATGTCTCTTTCACATCATTGTTTCTCTCACTGTTTCTCTCCCTGACTTCCCCTAAAAAATCAATGGGGAGGAAAAAATCAGATGAGGGCTAACAAAAAAGAATCATTTCTTTCAGTATTTGTATGCTTCCAATTCGTTGACTGTTGCCAGTTTTATCTTTTATGTATTTCCATAAAAAAGTCTAGTGGCATTTTAGGATAAATTTTCTTTGTTCAAAGCTTAGTCTAGTTTCACCCTTTATTTCAAATCAGTTAAACCTGAAAAAGAGTGAAAATTATGGTGAGTGAGTTACCAGCTATTTAAGTGTGTAAATATTTCTTTGGGACACCCTGTATATATACTACAAAAGACAATATAAAGGTATGTTAATAGCCCCAAACTGAAAATGACTTCAAATGTCCATCAAAAGTAGGATATTATAGTATATTCCTACAATGAATCAATGAGAATGAACAAACTATTGTTATAAGCAACACCGTGGATCAATATTAATATATAAACTTGCTATATGATTCTATTAAATAAGTTCAGAAACAAGTAAAATTGAACTTGGATGTTACAAGTCAGACCAGTGGTTAGCCTGGAGAAGGTGGGAAGGACAGTGACTGAAGGTTGGGGTTCTGGTAATCTTCTCACTCATAGCCTAAGGGCCCATTACACAGTGTGCTCCTTGTGTGAAAAAACACCTCTTACACATTTATGGTGCATGCACTATACTAAAGGTATGCTATTAATAACAAGTTAACAGAAAACACATAAACCCTTTCTTTGAATAAGCTTAATTTACTCCAATCGCACTTGCTTTTAATCTTTGACCTTAACGACTAATGAATACATAAAAAACTTTAGAAAAATAAGCAAGTTATAATGCCTTCTTCCAAACTGCGTTACCCAATATAGTAGCCACTAGCCACATATGGCTACTGAGCCTTTAAAATGTATGATCCCAGCCCAGCCGGTGTGGCTCACTGGTTGAGTGTTTACCTATGAATCAGGAGGTTGAGGTGCGATCAGGGTACGTGCCTGGGTTGCAAACTCCATCCCCAGTAGGGGGAGGCAGCCAATTAATTATTCTCTTCCATCACTGATATTTCTATCTCTCTCTCCCTCTCCCTTCCTCTCTCAAGCAAAATATTTCATCAATACATTCTTATATTGATTAAATGTTAAAAACGACAATTTTTTTAAATATATTGAGTTAAATAAAATATTATTAAAATTAGCTTCACTAGTTGTTGTTTTTTTTTTTTTTTTTAACTTTTTTCATGTGGCTACTAGAAAAAGTAAAATCACATATTGGACTTGCACTTATTTCTACTGGACAGCACTGCTCTATACTGTTCATCATTCCTTTCTCCTTCCATGTTCTTCCCATTTCCCTCATGCCATATAAACTTCTACAATTCTGATTCTAATTTAAACAATTACCGTATCAGAATCTGAGTCATCAAATATTCTTTCAAAGACTTCTTCTGCTTCCTTAAAATTGCCACTTTCCATACAAACAGCTACAGCCTAAAAGACAAATACATACCTTAAAATTGTTTTGTAAAATAATGAATTGTTGTTTAATGCTGAAATAACACACAGAAGTCTAAACTACTTCAAATATTTTTCTATAGTTTAATATTATTTTTTGGAGTTTAATAATTTTGATTTAATAAATTACCAGTATATAGTTTTTCAAAGATAAAATAACTGTGGTTTGAAAAGACATGAAGAAACTTCATATCCTATATAATAAAAGCCTAAGATGCTAAGTGTCTGGTTGACTGGTTGGCCGTTCAACCAATCAAGCTAATGATATGCTAAGTCCGCTCAACTGCTTGTTATGACATGCTCTGACCATCAGAGGGCAGACAGTTGACCACCAGTTGCTATGATGTGCACTGACCACCAGGGGGGCAGATGCTGTGACTGGTAGGTTAGCTTGCTGCTAGGGTCCGGCTGATCAGGACTGAGCAAGATGAGCCAGACACACCTTGGAGCCCTCCCACAGTCCCTCCCCAACTGGCCAACCTCCCACATCCTTCCCCGCCCTGATCATGTACCAGTGGGGTCCCTTGGCCTGGCCTGCACCCTCTCGCAATCCAGGACTCCTCGGGGGATCTCCGAGAGCCAGTTTCAGCCCAGTTCCACAGGCCAAGACAAGGGACCCCACTGGTGTACAAATTCGTGCATTGGGCCTCTAGTCCTATCTAATAAAAGAGAAACATGCAAATTGACCATATCTTCGCTATGCTACCAGCCAATAGGAGTGAGTATGCAAATTAACCCAACCAAGATGGTGAGGCCTATAGCAGCCAGGTGGCACTGGGGCTGCCAGGTGGATGGGAGACACAAACCCACAGGAAGGCTGGCACCCAGTAGCCCCCAGATGAAAGATACAAACTCACAGAGAGGCTGGCACCCAGCAGCCCCAGATCGGAGACAAACTCCAGGGGGCCAGCCCCCAGATCGAAGGCACAGACTTACAGGGAAGCTGGCACCCAGCAGCCCTGGATCGGAGACACAAACTTACAGGGAGGCCAGCATCCAGCAGCCCCATGGCGACATTGGGGCTTTGGGCCTGGATCAGAGCACACTCCTGCAGGGGGCTGGCACCCAGCAGCCGCGGATGGGAGACACAAACTTATAGGGAGGCTGGCACCCAGCAGCCCCAGATGGAAACACAAACCTGAAGAGAGGCCAGCACCCAGCAGCCCCAAGCCCCACCACGGCCGTGCTGGGGCTGTGGGGGGCCGGAACCCAGCAGCCCCCAGATCAGAGAGACAAAGCTGCAGGGAAGCCGGCACCCAGCAGCCCAGATCAGAGAGACAAAGCTGCAGAGAGGCCGGCACCCAGCAGCCCAGATCAGAGAGACAAAGCTGCAGGGAGGCCGGCACCCAGCAGTCCCAAGCCCCACCATGGCTACGCTGGGGCTGCGGGGGGCCGGATCGAAGACACACACCCACACAGGGAGGCTAGCTCTCTAAAGCCCCAAGCCCTGCCGCCCTGGACCTGGGGCGGGGGGAGGGGGGGGGAGAGGGAGTGGATTGGAAACAAACCTGCAGGCCTGGCACCCAGGCCATTCTCATCAAGTCTTAATTCTACTTGACAGTCACTATAATATCAAAAATTAATTCCTGGGAAGGTGGGATTTTTCCCTCCTACCCAACAGTAAAACATTTTTAAATGTGGAAAAAAATTCCTCTTAGCAAAACACATTTTCCCTTCTAACTTTGAGTGACTTTTTTGGCTTATCACTCTTTAATTGGTTACTCCTAAATTCTTTCTACATAGTTAAAACTTTGTTCTCTTCATCACCAAAAAATTTATTGATTCTTTAAAAAATGAAATATTCTAATTTTTTCACACTTATAATCTTTAAATAAAATTTTAAAAAAATTGAGGGCACCAGCTGGTTTGGCTCAGTGGCTGAGTGTCAACCTATGAACCAGGAGGTCATGGTTCAATTGCTGTTTGGGGCATATATCTGGGCTATAGGCTTGATCCCCGGTGTGGGGCATGCAGGAGGCAATCGATCAGTGATTCTCATAAATGCCCCCTCCCCCCGTATCTGTCTGTTTCTGTCTCTCTCTCTCTCCCTGTCCCTTCCTCTCTGAAATCAATTAAAAAAATATATATTTTTTAAAATTGTTCCTTGAACTATCCATTGACACTTTCTATATATCTCATCTCTAATAAAGAGGGAATATACTAATTCCACAGCCAATAAAGAGGGAATATGCCAATTGACTGCCATGCCCTTAAAGATGGTGGCACCCACAGCCAGAGAAGATGGCAGGACCCAGTCCTCTCAGCCCCTCTGGGGTGGCAGGCACACACTCCGTGCGCCTGCCTCTGGAGACCCCCAGACCTCTCAGTCCCCATGGCCAGCCTGAGGCATAAGCAAGCCTCAGATGGCAGCTGCCCAGCCACCCAGGGTTGTCTGAGGCTTGTGCTGCCAGCAGTGGCAGCAGCAGAGGTATGATGAGGAGTCACCTTCTCTGATCACTGGGCCGCCTCCCACACTGAAGGCTCCGACTGTGAGAGGGGACACAGGCCAGGCTGAGGAAGCCCCCCCCCCCCCCCCCGCATGAATTTTCATGCACCAGGCCTCTTGTGTGTGTGTGTGTGTGTGTGTGTGTGTGTGTGTATGTGTATGAGAAGGCACAAACCACAAGTTTTTCAAAGTTGCCTCATGAACTTTAAATAGATGTGGCACATTTTTCAAAGTGTGACAATAAACCTGTATATAGCAGACTATAAGTCCCAGCTTAGAGAGCTCATGTCCAGACTATAAACCAAAGGTAAAATTTCTAAAGAAAATGATTACATTAAATTTTACTCTGGGTTTACTTCCCAACTTCTATTAGAATGACTCTTAATTTCTTTAGATATATTTTTATTTCCTAGCAAAATAATTATAAATAGAAAATAACAATCATACCTGAATTTTAATTAAATTCTGTATTTCTTCATGAAGTTTGTCATGTTCTTTTTCAATTGAATCCCAAATCATCAGGGCTGATTCCAAGGGTGTAATTCGTTCATCAGTTTCAAACTGTGCATCTTTAAAACCAGAACAAAAATAAAGTAAGTTAGAAAGCTAAGTAGAACCTTACTGCATCAATTTTAAAAATTCATTTGTTTAAATATTTACCAAGTGTATACTACCTCTTAGGCACTGCTTTTATATACATAGCAGTTTAGGGAAGTGATCTAACTTTTCAAGTTAATTTCCTCATTAAAGTCAACTTTAACAATGGAAAAAGCTAAATTAGTTTACCAAGCATTTAAAGCTTTTCTTTACTAAAATATTGATTTTAAGAACTAAAATAAATTATCCTATATAATAAAAGGCTAGTATGCAAATCGACTGAACAGCAGAATGACCTGGTTGCTATGACACACACTGACCACCAGGGGGCAGACGCTCAATGCAGGAGCTGCCCTCTGGTGGTCAGAGAGCCAGAAGCCAGGCTCACAGTTGACGAGCCCAGAGCAGTGGCGCCACCAAGGCAGCACTAAGGATGTCAGACTGCTGGCTTAGGCCCGCTCCCTGAAACATCAGTAGAGCATCTCCCCAGGGCTCCTGGACTGTGAGAAGGCACAGGCCAGGCTGAGGAGACCCCCCTTCCGAGTGCATGAATTTCGTGCACTGGACCTCTAGTACATTACATAAGGTATCTATCACAGTAACAGAATTCTTAAATGATTTATAAGTCTGACTATATTATAACAAACCTCTAGAGCATGAAATTATTTATTTTGTATTTAATTTTACCATATACTACTTGAAATCCTTGTTATATATTTTGTGGATGTTTGAAATAAGATCTTTTTAAAAAAAATATATATATATTTGATTTTTTTACAGAGAGGAAGGGAGAGGGATAGAGTTAGAAACATTGATGAGAGAGAAACATCGATCAGCTGCCTCCTGCACACCTCCTACTAGGGATGTGCCTGCAACTAAGGTACATGCCCTTGACTGGAATCGAACCTGGACCTTTCAGTCTGCAGGCCATCGCTCTATCCATTGAGCCAAACCAGTTAGGGTGAAATAGGATCTTTTAAAAAGTTATTTCTCTACTAACATTCTTCTAATCACCTAGAATTAAAATCTAAGGTGAATTTTAAGTCTAGGTGATTAGATGAACATTTCATTCCTTTTTCTCATTACCATATCCAATCTGTTGCAAAACACTGTATAGTGGTTAAAAACCTTGCTTTGGAGTTTATTCCAGACCTGGTTATTTACCTGTACTAGTAGCCCTGCGTACGAATGCATGAACCAGTAGCTTGCTGCTGCCCTCTAGAAGCGCTGTGCCCGCTGTCCCGCCCCCTCATAGCTTGCTACCCTGACCCCTCCTGTAGCGCTCTGCCACCCCACTTGTAGCTCGCTGCCCCACCTTCCTGCCGATCCGTGATCCGTCATTACTCGATAAGCTTCACGGTGTAATGACCATTTGTATTTTACATACATCTTTATTATATAGGATAGTGTCAAAAACATTATTTCACCTAAGCCTCCTTTTTTATCACCTACAAATGGTGTACATCAGGCGTCTTCAAACTACGGCCCGCGGGCCACATGCGGCCCGCAGAGGAGTCTGATCCGGCCCGCCAGATTTTTTGGGCAGTGAGCACAGCCGAGGTGTTACAGTAGGAATTAGTAGTTCATATAGTCCGGCCCTCCAGCTCTCTGAGGGACCGTGATCTGGCCCCCACTTTAAAAAGTTTGAGGACGCCTGGTGTACATAAATACTATCTCATAGGATTTATGTGAATATTTAATGAGATAGTATTTTTACTACTGTTAAACTTTCTTAGGTTTTTTTTTTTTTTATCAAAGACTCACAGTGGTTGGTAACTATAATACTTAGCAAATCATATACAAACATCTCAATGTGACATTCAGAACCTTCACTATAATCAAAAGGCCCTTTTAATGACCATGATAAACTGAATCAGGCATCCCCATTCCAATCTAAAATGAACTCTGGGGAAAGCAAAAGAAATTATAGTTAAAAATCCATTTATATAATAAATAAGTGCTGAAATTAAGTTCAAGTAAGAGGCTTCACATATCATAGTTGCTGGTAAAAAACACAGTGTGCGTGACGGAAAATTCACCACCAGTTACCATACAAATTAAAATCTCCAAGGTAGAGTCTGTGAAGTGTGGGACCACAACAGTACCATCAGAATCACCTGGGAACTTACAGGAAACATAACTCCAGGGCCCCTCACCCGTCCCTCTGCATCAGAAACTCATGGAGGGGAAGGGGATTCAGCATTCTTTATTTTTTCAAAACAAGTTCTCTCATATTTGTGAAGCAGGATGAAGTTTAAGAGCTACTGCTCTAAGTGGGGGCTATATCCCTTTTACTTGCTTTAGATAAGCTTGTGTGTAGATGTACATGACAAATACATGTGGGTAAACTCTCAATAACAAATGATGGCTCACCATCTGTTTCTCATTATCTTACCTTTAGACATAGACTGAAATATTTCCAATATAAGATAAAAATACATATTTACCAAGGGCTTTTCCTGATGCAATTCGTGTCAAAAACTGGCATATATATACAGTTCTCAGTTGATGAGATGTGAGACTAGATAACCCATGAATAATAGCTGAAAAAAGAAAAAAGTGACTTTATTAAAACATTTAAAAAACAGATATATTTGAGATCTTTCCCCCCAGCATATGTCATCAGTTTGGCTCAAATAAACTCTTATAAAATTCTCAACTGTTCTTATATTTATGAGTATATGTCAAAACTATTAAAAGTATTCACAGATTTTGGGAGAATCCAAGATGGCTGCTCAGGTAGACACCTAGCCGCAGCCGCACACAACAATTTCAATAAAATACAACTAAAATATAAAATGGACATTACCCAGAACTACAGGAAAGTCGACTGACTGGAAATCCTACAACGAGAAGCAAGGAGAAAACCAGAAGGAAGCGCGGAGGAGCTGGAAAAGCCCAAGGTACGGAGAAACGTGCGGCGCGCAGAGAGGACGGAGCTGGAGAGGAGGGAGGCCGAGTGCCTGGCTGGCGTTCCTTAGCAGGAAGGAGATAAAACTCCGACTGTGCTGGGCCCCCGACTGCTCTGAACCCCAGTTCTAGGCCAGACACCGGGGACCCAGGCTCATCTATAGGGAGCCGGGCTGCGAGGCGGAACCCCGAGGAAGCGGCGAAAGGAGGTCCCAGCGGCGCGCACAGTGCGCTCAGAGAAGGGACGGTCGGCTGTGCCGGGGGATTGCCCCCGTGGGAAGGAGACAGGGGCTCCAGACTGCTCTGAACGCCACCTCCAATCCCACTTCCAACGGAACTGAACCCCAATACCGGACTCATTGGGGGAGAGCATAGACAGTTTGGCAGCAGGCGAAAATCGAGGGCCTTTCTCTCAGAGGCGCTTTGCAGCGAGTACTGAAGGACCCTGGGGATTACTGAGACCGCATATGGTGGTGCTGACGGAAGCCAAGGCTGTAGGCCCCATCTGTAGCTGCCAAATGCGACAATGAAATAGATCACAAACGAAAGAAATGGAGGACAAAAGCGACTGGATATAGAGTTCAAATCTACGCTTATAAAGTTTTTCAAGAATTTCATAGAAAAGATGGATAAGACATATGAGGATATAAAAAGAGATCAACTAGAATTAATAAGGAATCAACAAGAAATGATAAGGGATCAACAAGAAATAAAGAATACATTGTCTGAAATAAAAAATATTATACAGAGTCCTAAAAACAGAATGGAAGATTGCAAGAATCAAGTCAAAGATTTGGAACATAAAGAGCCAGATGACACTCCTCCACAGAAGCTAGAAGGCAAGAGAATCCAGAAAATTGAAGATAATGTAAGAAACCTCTGGGACAACTTCAAGCGAACCAACATCAGAATTATGGGGGTCCCAGAAGATGAGAGAGAGCAAGATATCGAAAACATACTGAAAGAAATAGTGACAGAAAACTTTCCCCACCTGGTGAAAGAATTAGACTTACAAGTCCAGGAAGCACACAGAACTCCAAACAAAAGGAATCCAAAGAGGACCACACCAAGACAAATCATAATTAAAATTCCAAGAGCAAAAGACAAAGAGAGTATATTAAAAGAAGCAAGAGCAAAGAAGGTAGTTACCTATAAAGGAGCACCTATACAATTGTCAGCTGATTTCTCAACAGAAACCACGCAGGCCAGACGGGAATGGCAAGAAATATTCAAGGTGATGAATAGTAAGAACCTACAGCCAAAGATAATCTATCCAGCAAAGCTATCACTCAGAATCGAAGGTCAGATAAAGAGCTTCACTAATAAAAAAAAGCTAAAGGAGTTCATCAACACCAAACCAGAATTATATGAATTGCTGAAGGGGGTTCTTTCAGAAGAAAAAAGTAAATAAAGATAAAAATTATGAACAACAAATACGTAACTATCAACAAGTGAATCTAAAAACCAAGGAAATTTAAAAAAAATCTGATGAACAATATTAACTGTTGAATATAATAGAATCAGAGGCATGGAAAGGGAGTGAACTGACGATTCTTGGGGAAAAGGGGAGAGGAGGATGTGGGAAGAGACTGAACATAAACTGTGCACCTATGGATGAGGACAATGGGGAGTGGGGAAAGGGCAGAGGGTGGGGTGGGAACCTGGTGGAGGAGAGCAATGCTGGGGGGGGGGAAAGGAACATTTGTAATAATATGAACAATAAAAATTTATTAAAAAAAAAAAAAAAAATAAATAAATAAATAACAACCCTGATCCAGCAGTACCTATGTGGTTTGTTAAGAAAAAGTTATAAACATCACACAAAAATTACCATAAATTTAGAGCTATATTCTTTTATTTATAGGCAATTTTTAAAAACTATATGTATATTTTTATTTTAGAGAGGAAGAGAGAGGGAGAGAGATAGAAGCATCAATGATCAGAGAGAATCACGTCCCTCACTAGGGATAGAGCCCACAACCCAGGCACGTGCCCTTGACCAGAACTGAACCTGTGACCCTTCAGTCTGCAGGCCGATGCTCTATCCACTGAGCCAAACAAGCCAGGGCTATTTATAGGCAATTTTAAAAATATCAGAACAAAATTATTTGATAAAACCTATAAAATAAAACAAATATTTCACATGTAGAATAATAAGTACCGTATTTTTCGGACCATAAGACGCTCCGGACCATAAGACGCACCAGTTTTTAGAGAAGGGAAATGAAGAAAAAAAGGTTCTGAAACAAATAGTGTCCTAAAATATTTTATGTGCATTAAAACCCAACATCACAGTCATAAACACATGTAATCAACCCTGTAAAGTAAACAGCAGCATTTAGAACCATTTTAGAGCCGGGCAAGCACACAGAGACCACACAGAGCCAGGCAAGTAAAAAAAACTTTTTTTTTAAAGTATATGTGTAGGTTATATTTGGACCATAAGACGCAGGGACTTCCCCCCCCCCCACTTCTGGGGGAAAAAAAGTGCATCTTATGGTCCGAAAAATACGGTATTTAAAACTACTTTCACATGTACCACTCTAATGAATAGCGAGATTTAGACTCAAATTATAAAATGTGTCCAGTAATTATCTGGAAACTTATTTTCTATTTTAAAACTCCTAATGTTACAGGAAATATTTTATATTACTTCTGTCAAGGTTTCAGTTAAGTGTTGGTTACAGGTGTGGAAAAAGCAGGTAGCCAGCTTCAATCAAATAGGTTTTCCTTGTTCAGAAGGGCACTGGTATGCAAGATATGTGCAGTGACTGCACAGGTGACTAAACTGAATATGGAGGGAAGTGAATACAGAAGGGGTCTGATTTTCTTCTCTACAGCTTAGGTTTTTCTGTTACTTTGCTCTTATGCTTTACTTACCCACTATGGGACTCATTCAGATTTCAATTAGTCACTTGCATAACTTTTTAATTTGTGCCTAAAACCATCGTGAGGGGCAAGGACCAGTTGGCTCTTTCCTCATTCAGTCATTAGTCCCAATGTTAGAAATACATGCTCAGTAAATATTGAATGAATTTGGTTTAAATTTTAATGTAATATTAAGGCATTTTATTTTTTAAATATATTTTATTGATTTTTTTACAGAGAGGAAGAGAGAGGGCTAGAGAGTTAGAAACATCAATGAGAGAGAAACATCAATCAGCTGCCTCCTACACACCATCCACTGGGGATGTGCCCGCAACGAAGGTACATGCCCTTGACCAGAATTGAACCTGGGACCTTTGACTCTCTATCCAAACAGGCTGAGGCAAACTGGTTTCGGCAATTAAGGCATTTTAGAATTGAGGAAACGTATTTGTCTTATCTGTTTAGTGTTGGCTGGACTGCTTTTTGAGTTTTATATATACCAGGTAAATGCTAGGTGAAGTATAATGGCCCTGTTAGGTCTTAATGCATTTTTATTATATGTTTCCATAGCATTCTATACTCATCTTTTTCGGTTTCCTCCACATTTTTACTTTAGTTGTTCAATGATTTGTCTTTCACTGCTATATGGTAATGAACTCACTGAGGTCCAGGATTATGGTTTACTCACCACTGTATTATAGCATAACACTTGGGTGGGCATTCAGATATTTGAGATTAGTACAAATAAATACCCTGACCAGAAACTGAACCATGACCTTCCGGTTCATATGTGGACACTCAACCACTGAGCCATGCCCACTAGGCTCTTTTTAAAAAACAAACAAACAAACAAACAAAAAACGTTTACCCAAGGAGTGAGGATATTTTTTCCACTGTTTTTTTAGGGAGAGGGAGGGGGAGCAGTAGAAGGAGGGGGAGGAGAAGGGAGAAGAGGAGTAGGGAGCTCACTGTGAGAGACACATTGATTGGTTGCTTCTCACACTGGCCAATGAGAGGTGGGCATCCAACCTGCAACCCAGGTGGGTGCCCTTGACTGGGAATTGAACCCACAAGACAATAAGGTTCTGGTCTGAATCAAATAATCTTAGGAACAAAGCACTGACCACAGAGAGTTTCAATCAAATCAAGATAACAGGTAGGACTCCGCTCGCTGTGTTTCAGCTTCAGGCCCATAAAAGCAGTGAAACCATACCCATCCAAGCCATGGCAGGCATGCATCAGGACTGGATATGGATACACTGATTAACTACCCGTGTCAGCCAACCAAATAGAGACCAGGACCCTAACTCCCTTAGTCTCCACGATGAGTGGTTTCCCCCTATAGATCCCATCCCCTGGAAGCCATCAGGGAGCCAGGTCTTTGAGCATCAAATTAGCTCATTTGTCCCTGGGCTCGTGCCACCTTCTAAAACGAACCCCTGGCTTTCTTTGCAACAAGCTCCTGCTGCTGTCTCTCAGGGCTTTGATGAACGCAGGCAAACGGACCCCTTTAGTCTGGTAACACATCTTTCTTTCTTTTTTCTTTTTTAAACATATGTTTTATGGATTTTTTACAGAGAGGAAGACAGAGGGATAGAGTGTTAGAAACATCGATGAGAGTCATCCATCAGCTGCCTCTTGCACACCCCCTATAGGGGATGTGCCCGCAACCAAGGTACATGCCCCTGACCAGAATCGAACCCAGGACCCTTCAGTCCGCAGACCGATGCTCTATCCACTGAGCCAAACCATTTTCGGCTGTAAACACATCTTTCTGTTAGCATTCAAAAAAGCCATGCTAGTCTACTCAATGGATGTGTCTGTTGGGCATGTAAAGGCTGTGTGTGTATGCATGTCCAAGGAGGCTCAGAGAGCTCACAAGTTAGCAGAAAACAGCCAGGCCCAGGAAGGAAGGGCGCTTGGAGGCTACATTGCCTGGGGACTGACCGCCACGACAGGAACCCCTGACTGTCAAAAAAAAAACACAAATGCAACACCAACAAAGACAAAAGGCACTGGACACTGGGCTAGGTGTGACTTTGTACATTTTGTGAACGAACAGGGGCATCACGGGAAACCCGACAAGCCCTGGGAGGCCTGTGTGGCAGCCTCACGCACTCAAGAGACCTGACGTAACCACTAAAGAGGGTCTGAAATGGACACTTATTATTTTTATTTTAAAGTATATTTTATTAATTTTTTTTACAGAGAGGGAGGGAGAGAGAGAGAGAGCTAGAAACATCGATGAGAGAAAAACATCAACCAGCTGCCTCTTGCACACCTCCCCTTAGGGATGTGCCCGCAACCAAGGTACATGCCCTTGACCGGGATCGAACCTGGGACCTTTCAGTCCGCAGGCCGAGGCTCTACCCACTGAGCCAAACTAGTTTCGGCTGGAGGCTTTTTAACTAAAAGCAGTCTTGGCCTAGGCTACAACCTTCCCTGACGAAAGTCAATCTTTACTTTAAAGGAGCCCATTGGGTTCTGGCATCTAAGACAACATACCTTTGGAATGACAGGGTGTTTTTCCTCTTTTCCAGACCCCTCAGGGCACAAACCCTAGGCACCAGGGCGGATCACAGATCCTCGCCTGGGGCTGCAGTGACTGAGTTAACTAAGTTAGAGATGCAGGTGTCTGTCATTTCACTTTTCAGCCAATCCCAGACACTTCCCCCGCTTTGCTTTCTCCCGCCTCCCCCATCTGTCACTAATGGATTTCATGTAAATCAATTACGTCTTTCCCTTTGCTTCTAATGTATAATAATAACCTAAGGTGCAGAAGTGCCATTTTCCAGAGCATTTTTTTCTCAGTCCCTTCAGATTTTGCTTCGCAGCTACTGTCCTCCGTTTTGGCTCAAATAACGCCATAAAAACCCTCTACAGGTTTGAGTGTTTCTCAGGTTGACAATTTTAGCACATTTTTATCCTGTATCAACTTTAAAGGTTCCCCTCCCCACCCCCATTTTTGTCAGAAAAACTCAGAATCCGCGAAAAACTGGGGAGCTGACAGTAGGCGGATGTGAGACGGTGAGATGCCGGCAAACGGCTCAGAGCCCGGGCCCCTCCGCTCCCCGCCCTCGCCGCCCCTCCGCCGGGGGGGGCCGGGGCCGGGGCCGGGGCCGGCGCCGCGGCCCAGGCCTCGCCGCCGCCGGCCGCCCCGCACTCACCCTCGGCGCTGTCCCGGGTGCGGTGGAAGTCCTCGGAGCGGCCGTCGCGGAAGGCCCGGCAGAGAGAGACGCAGAGGAAATCCAGCATCCAGCCGGCAGCCACCGCCTCGGCCTCCGCCTCCAGGCCCGCGTCCCTCTCTTTCTCGGGGGCTCCCGCCTCCACCGGGTCCTCGGGCAGGTCCTGGCCCCCGAACTGCTCCTGGTTCTCTCTCGCTGTTTCCCACAGCCCCGCCTCCGAGGGCCCCGCGTCCGCCCCGTCCGCACGCCCCCGGGAGTCGCGAGACCCGCCGGCTCCGTGGCCCGCCATGTTCAATCCCTGCCGCGGTTTTGCCCGTTCGAGCGCCGGGCGGTGATTGGTTGGCGATGGCAGGATGGGGCGGGGCCACGGACGGGCTCTTCCGCCGGGAACCCTCCAATCACACCCCCGGAATGGGCGAGCGGCTGGAGCCGGACTTCTGATTGGCTCAGACCTCTGGCCTCGGGAAGTTTGATTCTCCGTCCCTCCCTCCAGCGCGGGGCTTTGTGGTGAACCAGCTGACTGCTGAGGAGAGGGGAGAGGGAGACTTAGAAAAGACACAGGTGATTAAAACTTCACTCCATTATTCAAGCGTAACACGAGACCCTGGTGTTCACTCACACTGTTACTACGTGATCACGAAGCCAGTCTATTACAACTGATGGACAGCCGCGATTCTCCAGCCTTAAAGTGCGTCCGGATCAGCTGGGCTGGTTCAATCCAAGGCGCCTTGGCTCCAACCCGTTGGGCTGGAACGGGGCCCTTTCATTGACAAACTTCACAGGTTCTCAGGTGATGCCGAGGCTGCCTGTCTGGGGACTCCGCTTTGAAAAAAATCGCTGCTCTCCAGGAGTATATGATTATGGAGATGAATTTCAATCAGCGTTTGAAATAGACTATAGGATGCAGCTTAACCTTGGACTTTGAAACTTACCTTACAGTTTGGTGATGGTGATCAGGTTATACTGTGTTTGTCTATGTGGGAGATAGTTACACCCGTGTAACAGGCCAATCAATGCACACAGCAGAAAAGTGTAAAAATTCAGAAAAAGTATGAAGTTCAGAAAAGTAGACAGATATGTTTGTAATTCCATTTATGCCAACATTTAAAACTTGCAGCACTGTACCTTTTGTTCATATGAAGGATAACTATGAAAATATTCGGGAGAAAGATGAACACCGAAGTGCCCCCTTGAGAGGGGAGGGGGAACTGTTTTTAAATATTTATGTCTTAGTAAAAAAGATCTGAGGTAGAGGTGGCAAAAGTTTTTATAAGTTTTGATAAGGTTGGCTGGCAGGTATACGTATAACTATTGTTCCCTCTACTTCATAAATATGAAATATTTCATAAAATACATTTTTAAAATAAAAATATAGAGAGTACATTTGGACTGTAGCAACTCTACATAACAGATTTGACCAGCATCACCTTTCCAAATTAACCAATGCCTTGACTAGTGTAAAATGGCTTATTTTGTCAGCCATTGTGATATACTTGTTCTTCCCAGCAGAGGTCACTATGAGATGAAATATTTAGTTAAACAATAGAATACATAGTAGCATACTTCCCCCATGAGAAGATTTTCAGTCTTTTTAAAAAAAAAATCCATGAAAACCGTTTTTACTGACTCAACTAGCAAGTCCAACATGGAAAAGAGCTAAAACAAGGTGGAATGGGCGCCAGAGATCCTAACAATCACATGTATGTACTGCTTCCTTCTAGGTTGACCTGAGGCTAGTAGGTAGAGATAAATGAGAACACTTGACAGGAGTAGAAAGTGTGAGGGAAAAGAGAAAGTCAGTCCTTTCCAGGCATAAATTAGACTCTATTGTCAGATATCCGTTAAAATTTACCTAGAAAATGAGGACGCTTTAAAATCTTGGATTAATTTTGCTGCCAGAGAAGATCTATATCAATAGATCTGTCTATCTGTCTGTCTATCTATTGTGAAAGAAAAAAGCCACATGCTAACCTGACAAGCTCAGGGAAGGCCTGTGTGGCAGTCTTGCAAACCCAGAGACCTAAGATAACCACAAAAGATGGTTTGAAAATTAAATATCTAACAGGTTATAGGAGGTAGTCATGTCCCAGATATTTTCCCAAAGATCAACTTTGATCTTTTTACTGAGCCCATTTGCCTTTTTGCCTCTGAGATAACATTATCTGTGAGATGTCTGGGTAACTTGTAACTTCCCTTTTTCCGGAGCCCCTGGGGAACAACCAAATGTGGTGGGCGCCAGGACAGATGCCTCAAATTCCTTCTTTATCATGTTAATTGTTCCTGCACTCACCTGAGTACACGTCCATCATTTTACTTTTATCCAATCCCAGGAGTTTCCCACTGCTTTGCTTTCTCCCACCTCCTTACTCCATCACCAATGAATTTCATGTAACCCACCTATGTCCCTCCTTTGATTTTGGTGTATAAATAGAGAACTGTAACTCGCCATTCTTCGGAGCATTATCTCAATCCGTTGAGGTTTTGCTTCCCAGCAATTGTCGACAGTTTTGGCTCAAATAAACTCATTAAAAAATTCTTTACAGGTTTCAATGGTTTTTCCCCCCCCATTAACACTATCTATCTAATCACCTACTTACCTACCTAGTACCTGTCATCCATCCATCCATCCATCCATCTGATAACACCGAGTTGTAGAGATTAGCACCTTTGATTGTATTATGTGTTTAATAAAACATTTCTGAAGTTTATTATCAAATGCCTTATTATCTGTTAAGAGAGATGAGAGAGAGAGAGAAAGAAAGAGAGAGAGAGAGTGATGTGGGCTTGGTAGAGTCTTTGGGTAGCAATGAGTCCTTCCAGGAGACCTTTCCTTTAATTGCAAAGTTTTAGTGGCCACCTACACAGCTACTGGTGAATCTGACTTGAAGAACTTCTGTAGTAAACGCAAGTTGCCTGGCTTCACCCACGTCATTTCAGTAGGGCTGGAACGGGGCCCTTTAATTGACAAATCTAACAGGTTCCCAGGTGATGCTGAGGTTCCTTGTCTGGGGACTCCGCTTTGCTAAGCCAGTAACAGTAACAGTCATAAAAATTGGAATTCTAAGATTGTATAGCAAGAACATAAAAAAAGCACAATTATTGACCTTTTATAAGACTTCTGAAATAAATGGTAAGTTTGAATGTATTCATCAGAGGAACAATTTTATTTTTAAAGAATCAATACATAGTCCTGGCAGGGTAATTCGGTTGGTTAGAGAGTTGTCCCAATACACCAAGGTTGTAGGTTCAATCCTCAGTCAGAACACATATAGAATCAACCAATAAATGCATAAATAAATGGAACAACCAGTGTTTCTCAAGTCAATAAAACAAAAAGAATCAATACATATATTATATAGCTATAATGGTTACTTGGAAATTTTTGTTTTCCAGTAGAAACTTGCTCCAGGGGCACATTATTGGAAGACATTTAGATACTGGCTTTTATTTCTTCTCAGAAATTTTATACTACAACATATAAAAAAACTTTTACCAAGAAACTTTCACTGGCATTGATATACTAAATAAAATAATAATGGCAACTGGAATGTTGGTAAGATGATGTTTTTCTATTGATATGTAATAAACCATCTCCAAATTTAGTGAATTAAAAAAATAAATCATTTGTTTATCTCATGGATTTGCAATTTGAACTTAAAAGGGCAGAGCTTGCTTCCTCTCTCTCTCTCTTTCCAACATATGGATTCCACATGTGTCAAACACAAGGCCCGCGGGCCAAATCCGTCCCGCCAGGCCTTGCAATGTGGCCCGCACCGCGCTGTCATCATTGCACTCCGCTGCGTTTCCATCACAATGACAGTTTATGATTGTTCAGTAAACCATTTGGCCCGTGATTTAGGCTGGATTTTAGATTTTGGCCCCTTCTCTGATTGAGTTTGACACCCCTAATTATGGAACATAAACAGGAAGATGGCTATATTACATTGCAAGGGGTCATAGACACAGGGTAGCATGATTTTTTCGTTATCATAGTCATCATCATGGTATTTCTGAATCAACCCCAAACTAAGGGGCTTACAACAATAACCACTTTATTACTCACAAATCTGTAGGTCAGAACTCGGGCACATCTTGATGGGGTAGTTTTTCTCTGCTCTAACTGGTGCAGACACGGGCAGCCAGTCTGGCCTGGAGGACCCAAGAGAGCCTCTGTCACATGTCTGTTCCCTTCTGAGGGATGGCTCAGAAGGCTGGAGTCTGGTGGGCTGGCTGGGCCTCTCTTTTCTCGTGGTGTCAGCTGACTTAACGCACACATCTGTGTCGTTGGCTTTCTTCATGTGGCCTCTTTTACTATGCAGTGTCTCCTCCAGGCCTGTCTTCACAGCCTCTCTTAGTGTGGGATGTGTTGGACTTCTCTCCATGTGGGTAGACACCCAAAGAGCAAAAGCAGACACTCAGGGGACTTAGAAGGCTCAGGCCCAGAATAGCACAATGTCAAAGCAAGCCATAAGGCCATTCCAGATTCAGTGATGGACAAGTATAGTAGACTTCACCTCTTCGTAAGAGGAGAAACGTGTATGTGCAGGAATGAGAACTGTGGAGGGCGATCTCTGTGAACAATGAACCGAGTGCTGGACTGAATGTGGGAAAATGAGAAGCTGGGGTCAAAGGGTTAATCTGGGTTGGTGGCTATGCACATAGGTTGTAATAGCCAAAATGATTCTACATAAGAGAAGGCAATAAAATTATAGGGGGGAAATTCAAGTTTCTATCAAGCAGCAAATCAGTAGGAGACAACGTGGGGACAGTGGTGGAGAGAGTAGGTAGAATCTGTTCTGCATATAACATTTTCATGCTAGCTAGCCGTGAGATGGTCAAATAGAAAACCCCACAACCTCTGCGGCCAGGGGAAGTGTTTAGCTGTGACACAGGAAGCACCAGGAGGGGTCCGAGTGCCTTCCCAAAAGGCATTGTGCTGTGATGAGACTAATGTGGAATTTATCCTCCCACTAAAAGGATGAGATCATAAAATACCTCTCCCCTCACCACTTGGGTAGAACCCAGCAGCAGATGGCCAGACAATATGGAGGCTCTAATTAGGGAGAGAAAGCTGTAGGGCCACCAAAATAGAAGACATCTTCCCTTGGTAGTAACTAAACAGTTGCAGGCGACTTGCAGGAAAATAAAGGTTTATTTTTGTCTGGTGTGCTATATAAGGCCCAGGTGCAACTCGGCTGCTCCAAGTGCCTTTTTCTTTTCTTTTCTAAACCACCCATCTCGCATGGAAGCATTTTTGGATTCAGTTTTGAAACACTTTGATTTCTGATATTCCTGACCCTGGCAGAACTGAAGATGATAAATGCTTT